TCAGCCAAATCGGAGGGGGTCGGGTTCCGAGCCTGGTACAGTTGACGTGGAATGACCCACTTTATATTCAGACTTGTATGTTTTGGATTTTGCTTTTCAGTGCACAGGACCTTCCATGGAGCCCACTATTTTATCTGAGAACATTGTCGTGTCAGAACACATAAGCCCACGACTATTTAAAATTAAGTGTGGAGACATCATTATCGCTAAATCCCCCTCAAACCATCGTCAGCTCATTTGCAAACGAGTGACTGGTCTTCCTGGTGATACCATCAAAGTCGGCTCCAAACTACATGTGGTAATTATACACTTGCCTTTGGGCAATGTTTCTCAATGATTTGGTTTCTCAATTGCAGGAGATATTTCAAATGAGTGCAACAAGATAAATAGGTACTTGTAGCTCCTGAAATTCAATAAAATATCAATTTTAAATATTAGTTCTTTAGGAGACTAAATTTCTAAATTAAAATATAAATTTTACACCACATAAATGTTGGTCAAGTTATAATTATTCTCACCACACACATGAATTTTGTTCCTTTTACTCAAAAAATGTGTTCTGGTTAAAACAATTACCTTAATTTTGAGTCGAATTTTATTTTTTTGCACAAAACATATGAATTTTGTTCTAAAAATGTGTTTCAATTGAAAACATTTACCTATGTCATTAAAAATATGGGCCGTAACCGGCAATAGCATAGAATAAGAAATTTGAAGGAACTAGCTATTTTTTTTAAAGGATACAATGCTAAAATTCAAAATCATAGAAAAAAAGGTGTAAAAGCCGAGGCGCACCAAAGTTATTTCATGGATATTGTCTATCGAAACAATATAACTCTGTTTACCTATACTCATACAAGTTTTATGTGAAGTTTTGATGTATCATGAGCACTGATTTCACCATTATATGTTTTAATAACTTTGATGGATTCCACATCCATATTCACACACCCTTTTGTTCACATTGATCAGCAATCTATCTAGTGTTCGGTATAAAGTTGCTTTGAAAAAATGAGGGTACGTATGGCCATTCTGCTCTGTTTCTGCACAACGAAGTTCTTAAGTTAATGTGGTTTACATGCAGGTGCCTCGTGGTCATGTTTGGCTGGAGGGTGACAACCGCAAAAATTCCTCAGACTCCAGATCATATGGTTCTATTCCTTATGGATTGATCCGAGGTCGAGTGGTCTGCCGGGTTTGGCCGCCTCATCAAATTTCCATGCTTACTCCAGATCAATCAACAAAATCCAAAACACACTGCTTTTCGTCCTCTTGAGCACCTTTTTTTTGTTAAACGTATTCTTATAAGGAAGGTAAGCTATTAACGGTTCATTTCAAAGCTAGTCCATTAGAACAAGGTCTTAAGAGAGAAAATCTGTATCTGCAACAATGTTCTACCCTTGAAGTGTCCTTTTTTTGCTTATGAAAGCAGACTTCAGTCTGGAGTGCACCCAAATATGAAATATTCATAAAAGCTACAGGTACTGTTTTATATTTTGTTCCTCATTTGTACATTATCAGCTGTGTTTTGTGACCTATCCAAATTTTAACTTTTGTTTATTTTTTGGACGGTAAAAATGCTATCTTAACCGGTTCTTACTTTCATTCTATTAAGGACTGCCATTATTTTTACCAAAACCTGGTCTTCAAGTGCTTATGTAGTGTTCATTATCTAATGCATCTCACTGGATTCTATCCTAAAGAATTCCATTTCATAATGAGATTCATTCAAAAATTATTTCCTTAGTATACACATGTAATACAAACATGTTGCAAGGCTAATAACATAAATAAATGAAAAATAAGTTGACTAAGTACCTTGTTGCATTGGTATGTGTAGCAGCTGAAATGTGAACCTGACAGGCCTCCCCACCAGTGCTTTTGTGTGTTGTGCACCAGGTGTTGATCTCTATTTTTAGTGTTTTTCCCGTGGGAAACACTTCTTTCTTTTTCTCATCCTTTTTTGCTGGTGTTGGTTTTTGAAATTTTCATTGAAACGCTAGCTTGATTCAGTTTTACTATCATAATTGTAATCATTAATTAATTTAAAAAATCCACACTGTTATTTTGTTCAAATTCAAATCAAAAGAGTAGTTTTCCTGATGATACATCAAATTTTCATCAGATTTCTCGAAACTTTATCAAATATTCATCACTCTGATCAGCTGAGAGTGTACTAGGGGTATATATTAGAGACAAAGAAATGGGAAGAGGTTCCTTCAGTTGAAGACCAGACTTGCACAAAGTTTTGGCTTGGTATACCGTATTTTAGCCAATCCTCAACAAATTAAGACTTTTCTCAAACTTGATGGAACTGTCTCAAAAATCTGAATTTGTAAAATGTTTTGCAAAATTGGACAGCATTTTACTGCACCCTCTATTGGCTGGGCTAGGAGGCTGGTCCATGAGAGAAAGTCCTGTGGCATTCCTCAAAAACATGACGTCAGGAATCTACCAATACTAGAAAGTTTTTTTTTTTTTTTTTTTTTTTTTTTTTACAATCACTGCCGAAACCTCAATCTATTTCTTAAATTTTTTTTGGTAAAATGTGGATTTTGTCAATTAGACTCAAAAGAGAAAATAAGGTAGAGGTGAAAGTTAACTTTTTGTCAACCTCCGGCCAAAGTATCACAAGCGCCACGTTGATAACTTTTCAGGAAGCACGAAAAACTGATTTGCGACCGCATAAGATGGAGTCTCGGCTTGAAAATTGAAATACTGATCCAGCACAACCTCCTGCCTTGAATTTAAATAAAATTTTTTTGAAAAACATTTTTTAAAAGAAAAATTGGCGCCTGTGATACTGCGTTCTTGGGGCATTCTGAGAACCCTTGGTGCTTTTGATGTGGAAACTCATCAAAATTAAAGGAGTTTTTTTCATATTTATCTATTTTTAATCCCAAAAAAATATTATTTTTTTATGTAAATGCATCTTATTAATCAAAACCAACCATAACGATAAAAATGGTGCTTGCAATTGTTGTGATACTCTGGCCGGAAAGTGACGAATTGCTCTTGGTCATTCCAAGTGTTGTTGATACTAAAATTGTAAAAACAATCCCAAAGATGAGCGATTACCCAACTTGGCGTTAGTGATACTTGGCTCTTATATGGCGCTTGTGATACAGAAGTTCATAAACTTCAATGGTGTATTTTCTATATACATTTCTATTCTAAAAAAAAGTATTATATTCGAAATAACGAGATTCATTTACATACGAAAATAATTTAGTTTCTAGTCATTCCGAGGGTCGCTGCAACAAAAATTGTAGACAATCAGAAAGGTGGGTGGTTGCCGAACTTGGCGTTTGGGACACTTCTTTCCCAAATGACGCTCGTGACACTCTGGCTGGAAGGTGACAATTTTTACTTTTTAAACAGTGTTATACCTGTTGCTGAGAAGCATTTCCTCCAATGTGTTTCTTGTTACAAATTTTCAGAAAATGGATGAGATAATATATTCAGTTCAGTTTTATTTGAAAGATTTAACTTTAGATGTTTGATTCATGGAATTTGGCAAACCTGATCTAATTTCTTCATATTTATAATTTTTCAGAAAAAAAAATGAACTATGGAAAAGGAAGCTGGCCGTGTTGGGCTCTCGATGAAATCACCCAAGAAGAAGTAAAAAAATTTCTCGAAAGAACTTCAGAGAAGCAAAATACATTTCAACCCTACAGCTGGCTTCTGAGTTTGTTACCTGTATGATTTATTGTTAATATATTTTTAAGTAAAGCTGTATAAATTAGATTAAAAAAGGAGAGGACCAAAAAATTATGTTTCCTCAAGTGAATTAAAAAGTGATCAGGGGGAATCAAGGAGTGTATCATCTAGATTTTGATCGGAGTGCAGGCAAGAGTCGGAGTGTGATAGGCAAAAGTTTCTTCATACAATTTATTGAATCCATATTTTGACATTTTTGCAATGATCCTAGAAGTTCCAGGAAAAAAACTGTGAAAAGGGTTGCTTGTTGAAGTGGCAAAATAAGTGAGGTGGCGCTTTTTGCTTCAGCACTGCGATAGCCTAGCAGTTAAGAGCATGGAGCAGAGGCCAAAAAGTTCTGGGTTCCATCCCTGGCGTCACACTATAATTTTTATTCCTCCCTATGATCGTTTTGTTTCGATTTTTTCTTACTTTGCAGTTGGAAGAATGCAAGAGAAAGTCAAAACGGAAAAAATTTAAACGTTTTTCAAAGAAGTTTCTTAAATTTGGAAAAATGGCAGGGGTACAACTCAGTGAAAAAATTAGTTTGTTATACTTTATTAACACATCTTATAGAATATCAGTACACATTTTAGTACTATGATAGACGTTGAATGAATTTTTATTGTAAAGTCTCTGGCATTGCAAACTTTTAAAACAAAGTTGAGGAAGAAAAAAAGTTCCAGTTCCAATGCTAATAGGGGTGAAAGTATAGGCCTCCTAAATATGTATTAGATTGTATCACCATCAAACGGAAAGAAGTGAAAATTAGTTAAATAAATTTACAAAGCCTGATAAAACCACATCAAGGCAAAAATGTGAAAAAAAAGAAATAGCCGTTTGATTTTCGCAATCAAGTACCAAGGGATGGTGATCAAAAGTTGTCTAATCTTCAATGGTAATCTCCTTTGATTTATGAGGAATTTTACATGTTGGAACTGTATTACACATTGACTTTCAGATCTTTACAATACACGTACCTCTGTCTTTCAATGGTACTGTCTTTGTCTCGGAGAAAATTTAAGTTGGATTTTTTTTATTGTTTTCTTAGCCTTCTAGTCAGTCTCTCAACGAAGAAGAAAATGAATGGGAATCAGATGACTCTGATGCTGAGAAATTTCCTGAATGTTTATCCTCAATTGCTCTTTCTACAAAGGACAAAAGTTTTGTCCAACAAAATAATGATAAATCTTTGCAAGTTCTACCAAACGATGAATCTATGCTGCTCGACGCAAAAGAAGAGCAAAAGAGTTTCTCTAAAAGTAAGTTTCTCTGTAATAACTATTTGTCTACGAGGAATTGAGCTCAATTTATATTTTTTAGAGCCAAAAATAATTTGATGAGTATCAAATTGTGAAGTTGTAAATTGTGACACCAAGTAAACTTTACATTGGCTCTAATTTGACCAGAAATGTTAATCGAATCTGGCAAAGCAAATGATTGTTTCAGTAGTAACATCTCTCCAGCCATCAACTAGAAACGCGATTGCTTGTGGAACGTTGTAATTGTTTTACCGACATGATACTGTCTCAAATAAGCAGCAATTATTTACATTGATTGTAAGTAAAATATTCTGTCCTAACTATATTGTTCCAAAAAAGCAGTTTGCTCAATTAACGAGAGTCCCAATAAAACGGAGCTGACTGTATATGTTCGTGAATTTTGTTGTCAATGAAAGTAAAATCAAGAATTCTTCCTGTGAAATTGTAAGGTCAAAGCTGCTTTCTGAAGGAATCTTGTAGCACTTAACTTTGTCGTCAGCTGGTCCCATATAAACGTTACTGTGGCTCTCTTATGATTGTAAGTATGGCTGAGCTTTCATCATTCCAATTCTTATTCTCATCAACTTTGATCCATCAATGTTTTGTTCATTTTCCAGCAGGTGATACAAGAGAGCAACAAGAATTAATTTTAAAATCTTTACTGCAATCAATTAACGAAGAAAACTGCACCAAGGAGAAAAAATTGAAAGAGTTAAGCGTTCTAGAAGCTTTAGACGATTCTTCATTAATCATTTTCATTGAAAAGGTCAGTGTATCAATCAAGTGTGAGGAGAAGAAGGCAGATTTTTGTCTTCTAGTTGCTGAAGTTTTGAAGGACCGGACTTATGTTCTTGGAAAATATTTTTATTTACCGTGGGTATGCACTTTTTGCCATTACCATCTCTGTTAGTTTTTTGTTCTTAAGTTTTTAAAAGAATTAAAGGCTGGGTAATATAAATTCTGTTGACGGAAGTGATGAAATGCGTTTTTCAGTTTATGATGTAAATTTCCCTCTTATCTTATTTGAATGGAGAAAAACTAGCCATTTTTAACTTGTGGAATTTTGCATGATTTTTCTTTAACCATCTAAAATGTTCTCTGAAATGGGTAAAATTTTTTTTGAAGAACAAAATTCTTGCAGAATTGAAACTTTACAGTTTAGGCTGGACCACTAGACAAGGTACGAATTCAAGCATTCTAATAAATGTTTCCTCCTCAAAATTGCACCCTCAACACGATTTGCAACAAGATTTATGGTTACCAACTCCCAACAAAGATTTTAACGCTTTTATACAGCTTTGGTTACGAAAAAGAGGTGTGTGAAAAAACGGCCAAAAATGCCTCAAGGCATTTTCGAATTTTGATCACTTGGGGTGATACAGTAGCTTCCCAGACGCCCAAAACCGGTCGCTGTTTTGCTTAGAAGCGCCGGGTTGCGACGTTGCCATTTTTTAAAGTGGAAACCTTTAAAAATTCATATCTCCGCCGCATCTCAACCGATTTCAATTAACTTTTTTTGAAAATGTTCCTTTTAAATAGAGCTTCCTATTAATGTATAGTTTCCTGGGTTTACTCGGCTTTAAGTGGCACTTACGCGGTTTTAGCACTTCTTGATAGACACAAAAATGTAGTTTTTATTTTACCACGATCGTGGAATCGACGAAATCTGAACAAAAACCAGTCTAAATGAAAGTTCAGATTCTCACCTTTCTAACGAGCACAAGATCATCCCGGGGAAACGTTTAGTTTCCGAGATATGACCGCTCAAAGTTGGTCACATGCGCTTTTGCGCAATGTGAATGCGGCTTATCACTAAGTCATTCGCGAACTGGGGGTCCCTTATATTCAATTTACGTTGAAATAATTACACAGAGCAGTAAGGTGTACAACACGAGCCGTATTTTCACCTTCGGCTGCTGATGTGCGACGTTGCCATTTTTTTAAGTGAAAACTCTTAAAAATGCATAACTCCGCTGCATTTCAACCGATTTCAATGAACTTTTTTTTAAAAATGTTCCTCTTAAATAGAGCTCTCTAACGGTATTTAGGTCTTTGGATTTTATTGACCTCAAGGCGGCACTTAGGTCGTTTATATGGTTCTTTGCAGAGATTTTTCATATAGAAAATAGTGTTGCTATTTTTTATTTTTTATTTTTTTTTTTCCGCGGGTTGTGGGAGGGTTTGAAATGGCAAAATTTAAAAGAAAGAACTTTGAAAAAAGGGATTCTTTTAATCACTATTCTTACGTGTACAAATATTGAAAGCGACGCTCTCATTGTACAAGGGAAGTTGGTGTTGTTAATTTACCAAGATTTTTGCATTATATTTTAAGCGATGGTGATCTTCCGATCTAGTTTGAATGTTAAAAAAAATCGGGGGAAATACAGACCCCCTTCCGAAAAAAAGAAGAAAAAAATAGCAACTCAATTATTTATATGAAAAATCTCTGCAAAAAACCATATAAACGACCTAAGTGCCGCCCTGAAGTCAATAAAATCCAGAGACCTAAATACCGTTAGAGAGCTCTATTTAAGAGGAACATTTTAAAAAAAAAGTTCATTGAAATCGGTTGAAATGCAGCGGAGTTATGCATTTTTAAGAGTTTTCACTTAAAAAAATGGCAACGTCGCACATCAGCAGCCGAAGGTGAAAATACGGCTCGTGTTGTACACCTTACTGCTCTGTGTAATTATTTCAACGTAAATTGAACATAAGGGACCCCCAGTTCGCGAATGACTTAGTGATAAGCCGCATTCACATTGCGCAAAAGCGCATGTGACCAACTTTGAGCGGTCATATCTCGGAAACTAAACGTTTCCCCGGGATGATCTTGTGCTCGTTAGAAAGGTGAGAATCTGAACTTTCATTTAGACTGGTTTTTGTTTAGATTTCGTCGATTCCACGATCGTGGTAAAATAAAAACTACATTTTTGTGTCTATCAAGAAGTGCTAAAACCGCGTAAGTGCCACTTAAAGCCGAGTAAACCCAGGAAACTATACATTAATAGGAAGCTCTATTTAAAAGGAACATTTTCAAAAAAAGTTAATTGAAATCGGTTGAGATGCGGCGGAGATATGAATTTTTAAAGGTTTCCACTTTAAAAAATGGCAACGTCGCAACCCGGCGCTTCTAAGCAAAACAGCGACCGGTTTTGGGCGTCTGGGAAGCTACTGTATCACCCCAAGTGATCAAAATTCGAAAATGCCTTGAGGCATTTTTGGCCGTTTTTTCACACACCTCTTTGAACCTCTTGCTCACAGGAAAAACCAGAGTCTATGTTAATCAAATCGCACACTTCAATGGTTTTGGCAAGCTACTTAAACGAGCAATGTTCCTTTATTGCCAGGGACATACAAAAGGAGGGGGGGCTGGACCCCCCCGTTTAATTGAAAATAGTATCATTGCCCTCCTCCCCAGAAATTCTGAATGGTCGGAAAAAACCTTCATCGAGGATGATTATCTCTCTTAACGTAGAGTCTTAAATGAAAACACTGTGTTCATTCAGTTAGTATTTTCTGAAATTTTCATCATCACAGCTTCAAAATCCGTCCAAATAGATTTTTCCGGATCTATTGAATCAAACAATTCAGAGGTATTCTTTGTTACCCTTTGTTCTTTGTGTTACCCTGGGAGACTTTTATTTTTTACTTGAAAAACCACCCAGAATGAGTCTCGTAAAATTTTTTGTTTTTAATACCAAGAAGTTTTTATTTTTAATTTGATGAAAAATTTTGGTCTCATTTTGGCCACTTACATGCCATCATTCGAATGTTTCACTTCATGACGTCGGCTCATCGTTTCTTACGTCCTCCTTTTGTCATTTTTCGGCAGCGCTTTGCTGTTTTGAGTAGTGTCAGAGTGAACGAGTCAAGCTGGAAACATGTAGTCTTATTATTTTTTCCTCTCTCAAGTGGAAAGCAAACAACTCCAGAAAGATTTTTTTTCTCTGCACACGGTTTCCACACACATGATTTTCTGTCTATGAAATTAATCAAAAACTTTGCGACAATTCACCTGTTATTTGATTCCAGTTTCAGAATTCTGGGAAGAACTCACTCACAATTCTTGTCACATCTCTCGCACAGACTATTAATTCATTTTTTGAACAAGCCTGTCATGAAGTGCTGCTACCTCTCTTAAATTCATCTCAATCTGGTCTGGTACAGGATCCAGCTGTAGTAAAAGATATATTGGCATTGTGCAATCCTGAATGTTGGTGGTTTTTATTGAGGTAAGTTGTCCATTATTGCTCACTTTTTTGCCTCTCACTGCACAGTGATACAATTTTAATTAGAAATGTATTCTGTACATCGAGATAATGTGTTATGAAGATCTACAAATCGCAAAAAGGGTCAGTTCTCGAAGTAAAACTATAAAATAAATAACCTTCGATTTTCCAATTTGTTTTTCAAATTTTACTTTATTTCTCTCCGGTTTTATTCACCTTTAATTCTGTCTTCAGGTTTGAAACTGACCTTAATCAAATGTTGTGCTGAAAATTCAACAACATAATTCAAGTATCATCCATTTTCTAGTAAAGGTATTGAAGTAGAGGTTGCCTGTAATTAATCATTTTACCTCTTTTCAGACATTTTCTTGTTCTCCTCAATAAAGACAAGTTGGCTGAATGGCATCTCCCTGCTTTAGATTTTCTGTGCCATGAGACGGAGGAACTGGATGTTTCATCACATACGGAATCCATCGTTAACGAACTAACCAATCTGCTACGAGTAAACTCTGTTGATTTCAGCAAGAATCGATATTTTGGCAATATCATTTTGCTGCTTATCAACATTGTGAAGAAGCATCAGAAAATTGTAAATTTAGATATTATTACATCTCAACTAACCTCGATTATACAGTTCCACAAAGGCCCAACGAAGTACAAAGCCAGTCAGATGCTGAAGAAATTAACTGCGGAAAGGTTTTAGGCTAGCACTAGTTAATAAGTTACCATTAGCAAAGAGGCTTTGCAGCCTTATTTTCACTGAGAAATTGAAATCAAAGGCTCAATCTCATAATGATGCACAAGAGGAATGAATATATTTTACTACGCAGTAAACTCTCATGCCATCTTTCTCGAAGTGCAAAACTTAAGGCCTTTGAAAACTTGAGTACCTATATAGCGAGAGTATGGACAGATCGCTTCATGGAGGGCTTAGGGTCCAAAGGTGCAGCCATTCTTCTAACAAACTTCTAACGCACAAAATTTCACTGCTAGTTTGCAGAGTCTGCAGATTTCAATTTTAACCAAGATGGCCAAGAATGTACATAAATGAATGTTCTTCCGCAAAAATGAGTAAATGTATATAAAAACTAAGTCAAATACGTACAATCGCTCTGGATAATTGAAATTCATAGGTTGGCTGCATTTCTGGGCCCTAACTTTGTTCGCGGAGGCATCGGTGAAGGCCTGATGGTTTTTTGGAGTTTCACATCTATCTATACTCTCGCTATATAGGTACTCTATTGAAAACTAGCAGGGTTTCATCCTATGTTTGGCTCTGTGATATCAAAATTAGAAATTTTGTCTATGATATAAACATAAAGAAAGAACGATTAAAAGAAATTCTGTTAAGTACGTCCTGGTAACCAATCATCAGTATTGGTAAGCAATTGTTATTTTAGCATCTAGAAATTTCCGTTTTTGTTCCTCCCACTTTCGTATTCATTTGCTGCAATCTTTTTGAGTATGGTTTTTATGCTCAAGTTTTTTAATTACGAAGGAGATTTATCACATATGTATTTGGTTTTTGTATGACTATCAGTTCTCTAAGTCAAAATTTTATCCCATGCGAAGTGTGCCCTAAGGATTTCCGGATTGATGCTACAGTTCCAGCACGAAAGTTGCGATATCGCTTATTTTAGTCTTTTTTTAAAGCTGACATCATTCCCAATTATCGAGATTGTATTTTTTGGTGAACAATATATTCTACTTTGAAATCAGTGGCAGCTTTCTTCCCTCCTTAAATACCCGCATAACTCGGTCAATTTTTGAGCAAACAAGATGATTTGGGTTTCAATCAATCAGAAATGAAAACTTTAAAATGAGACCAAGATCAACACAATGGCTATTTTGGATATTATATCATCAGTCGGAAAACTTTTGAGACACTAAGTAACTTTAATGGACACTAAAAGACTGTAAGTTTGTATTCTCATCATTTTAAGGTATCAGAATGAAACTGCCTTGAACACATTTAAAGCTCAAATTCTCTATCATAAGTTCCGACAAAATTGAAAATTTCATGTTAGCAGAGGGGGAAAAAGAAAGACTTCATTACGTAAAAGATATCTTAGAAAATTTTATCCTCATTAGTCTTGAGCACCTGTTTAAAGTGGTTGTGCATTATGAAGGTAAGGTGAGAAATTTGTGAAGATTTTTATTTCTTCAGGAGGTGTAATGGGTATAAGAGCTTTAAAGGTGAAATTGTAAAAGTTTTTAGATTTTTCCCACCTTGTTTTTCTGTTTTTTAGCACAGACTTTTCTCTTCTGGTAATGAAAAAGTATGTCTCAAGAACAATATGAACAATATGAATAAAAAATAAAAATTGCAATATCTGTTATGCAGTGTATGTAATTGTAATAAAAAAAAACAAAACAAAACCTCCAATTGTTACATATGCATTGACTTTTAGTACAATTTTATAAATTATTTGTCTGTAAGCATTTATTTGAGGTTTCTTGTAAACTTTGCTCCAATGAATCTCCATGTCCCAATTTATGAATTTTTATACTGGTAAAGTATATTTTTAAGCTTTTTGGGCGTAGAATAAAATTAAGATATTTTTAAGTGTTTTTTTTTTTTTTTGTAAACTGCTGTAAGCCTTTAAAAAGAACGGAAGAAGTTACTAAAGGTAATTTAAGAAGGATGATGCAAATGAAACGAAGGGGATCGAAGCTGGCCTAATTTCATTTTTTTTTCTCAACATTCAGCATACTGAGGTCCTGTTGTAGTGTTAGTAACAGAACTAACTAAATCCGTATATTACAGAGACGTGTCATTTCATGTATGCTTGCTTACTTCTGAATTTTCTAATCACTCAACTGTTGTCAATTGTAGGTTTGTTGAATTTTTAATTTCTCAAAATATATTGTTGTACTCCTAGAAACAGAATATTTTCCTCTTCTACCCTCCCTTCAAATGATTTCAAATGATGTTTCCCCGTCACGGATTTTTACTCTGTTTTTTTTTGTCACAGTTTTACTAAAGGTTCTATTTCCATTTTCTCATCTTTGCAGGAATAACTTTTTACAATGGCCGTTGCTTGATAATTTTACACTTTTGGGTTAGGTTGGCTTGTACCAAAAGCTCTTGATGATGAAAATCGTTACCTTTTTCTGTACTTTTGTGACAAAATGATCCTTGAATGACAATAATTTATGACCAGGAAATCTAACTGAATTTTGTTCTTAAATATTTCTTCTTCACCTAATTTTTCTCTATTAATATCACGTCAGTTAGTTAATGCGGGATCATAAATTTTACCAGGGAAAAATTTGAACAAAGTGAAGTAAGTCTTCAAGGGTAAAAAGTCATTTTGAACTAAAAATCATACAGTTTTAAATTAAAAATTATCAAAAAAAAAAAAGCCTCAAGAATATGGCTGAATACTAATGAGCCTTTCTTTTTTTCTTTTTTTTTTTTTTTTTTTAAAAAAAAAAGGGATTTAATAATAAAAACAAAAGAGGAACTTGATTTGAAAATAATTCTTTTTTATTTGTATTTTCAATTATTTTTCCGAGTTTTGATAGACTAAAAGAAACAGAGGGATTTACAAAAAATAAAACAAATAGAAAACTTACTGTACAAAAACTAATCAACATTTATTTACAGCTTTTCTGACGAAATACTTAAATTTACACTGAGGTACAAATGAGATGAAAGAAAAACAACACATTAATTTCAAATTTATTTTTAATCACAATCATTTACATATTCACAACTTTAAAATGACAAAGACATTTTTTTTTTAAAAAAAAAAAAATCATCTTGGGATGAAAATCGCCTCTAGAATCTTTGTCAGGTTTTGATAATTTTTCAGATCCACACCACTCCTACCAGAATGCGGCAATATTTCCGTCCGCCCAGACTATGATTATTTTTAGCAATTGAATTTTCATTCGAACTTTTAAACGTTTGATTCATAGATTATTTTAAAAGAACTTTGGCATTCTTAAAGAAAATTTTTAAGGGAACAGTCATGAGACAGTTAGATAGTCTTGGATTATTTTTTAAAAGAAAATTTAAAATCAGCAAGTACAACTAGAAAAAAAGAGAGATAACATCTGGTGCTGATATAAATTTATTGAAGTTCAAAAGTGACAAAATTAAAATTCTATTTAAACGAATTATTAATGCCAGATAAGTGCATAGAGTGATATTAAACTGGGATTTATGAGAAGTTATGAAATGACTGAAACAAAAGCTTCTTAAAATGATACCTGAAGTAGAATAGAAGTCATTCATTTAGGAGTGGCATAGATACTAAGAATTGATACAAAAATTCTTAGCGGGGACATCTCAACAAGTCATTTCCCTATCAAATATTTCTAGTATTGGCTAAATTTACAAAATTTAACTCATGACCATAGAACAAAAGGAAAAACAGTTTTCTGAAGTGAAAAAAATAGAAGTATTCAGGTTAGGTATGAGAAAATGAATGTCGAAAAATAACACGGTCGTATCAATAACCTTCAGCAGAGGAATTAAACACACAAATGAAAGTGGTAGGATTTAAATAAAATATTAATCTGACTCTATCAAGGGCTGTTAAAAAGTTATCTCGGTAGGACTTTGTATTTGTCTTCAAAATAATTCCTTTGAGGAGAAATGAAGGATTCTACATTGTGGTTCAACTAATATAGTATACTGATCTTCCGTATTAAAACTGTCTTGGAAAGTCAAGAGTCATTTTAGGTGAGAACAGACAACTACAGCTTTGGTCTACATCTTGGTTCGACTAATGCCCTAAACACTGAACCCAAATTGCGTCACAGAGGATCTCAATGATTATATAGTACACTTCAAAGTAATGAGATGCACAGAAAGCACTAAAATCAGACATTTTCTTCAAAAAGACCTCAAAAGTTAAAGTTTCAGCTTGTGCTGGTCTCTTCTTTCCTAATATAGATTTGAACTCTCTCCTCTTATTTTCTACTGAGGTGATCCCTGATAAAACCAAGGCTAATCTCACTTTGTGCTTGACTGAAGATACATCTCTTTCCCTTTATAACCAAACGCTAGGTACAGTTACCTACAGGTGATCAACTATCATCAATAATTGAATGGATGGAAGGTTAGAACAAAAGAGCGACTAAGAGAAACAGTTGAAATAAGAGGCTCACAATAATGGAAGAAAAGCTCACATGAACAACTACATAGTACTTAGAAAAAGAATAAAAGGGAAAAAAACAATAAAGATGGCTTAACCGTGTCAATAAACCTCTGATTTTGGTGTAGGGATGACTTGGTTCAATTTAATGTTTAGCTGAGGTTAAACCCCTAACATTATTGGAGACATTATCAATATACTTGGAGGGGTCATGGATGGTTCATTTTTTACTTTTGTGTGGGGCGTAAAGGCGGAGCACTGAGAGCCACAATGGGCAGGACAGTAAACATCACAGTGTATCTTAGAACAAATTTAAATGCTTGGCCAATATATATAAACCAGATGCTAAATGCTCTCTTTCAAGTCAGGAAAGTTCAGCACACCTTTCATTATGTTGCTTACTGCACTGCTCATTGTCCAACTCAGCACAGTCTCAAAACTTCTGCCGCTAATGAAACAACAGTTAACATCTGAGCTGTTGTCATTATTAAGTTAGTGAGGTCAGGATTTGTACATCAAAATTAGCTTTCCATTCTCCCTGAAGAGGTAGAAGATATCCTGTGCCAAGAAAGGGCGATTATGTTTACTTCTACACCAAAATCTTGACACCAAAACTAGACCATGCAAACCTTTCTATTCATAAGATTCTGCGATTCACCATTCGAATAGGAGGAAATTCTAAAATCATGTTAAGGACAGGAATTAAGAGTACACGGTAACCTATGATACAAGGATTATTCTGACTTCATTAGAAGTACCTAGGTATTGATATCAAACATGCACCATTGGATTGAAGTACAAATAAAAATAAAAATGCATTGATATATGCTCTAAACATCACTTAGTACAGAAAGAAAGCACAACATATTAAAAACTATATCACAATGAATTTTATAAACCAAGGAAAATGATACAAACAGTGCTTATACAGTTCACAGTTAATAATGAGTACGTATCAAGAAAATTATGAAAACAAAAGTTCTGATTACACTTTGATAAAGAAATAAATCTTCCTATTTTGACAGAAGATTCCAAGGTTCACACTGGATCGATTAGAGTGAATGTCTCTGGTTTTTCACAAATCTGAGTGATAATTTGCACATTAATTTACTTTAAACAGCATTAATGTCACAAGTTGAGGAAGCACTGGCAGATTTGCATGTTTGATGGTGAAGTCATGGAGCTAAACCTAGATATAACAAACAACGCACAACATTTATAAAATTGCATTGGACTGAAAACATTAATAACAAAGAAATATTTACAACAGTGTCGGAAATCACGAGTGTACACTTGTTGTACTTTTACAGTGATATTCTTAACAACCTTGAAAAAATATTAACAATATCCAAAAAAAAAATCAACAAGATGAAATAGGAATACTAAATATGTCATAAAAAAAATTAATGACAAGCAGGGGGGGGGGGGGTGAGAGGAAGTGGATGGGAAACTTTTGAGGTATTTGGCAGGGTGTCTACAGCCTCAGCAGGAAAAATTTCCTGTCTTTTCAGATTCCCAGATCAAAATGATCAAACTTCCCTGACTTTTCACAAATATAATAAATCGTGCAGAGAACTGAAATGAACGATTATTTTTTGCATTAGTTTCGTTGCAAGTGACAGAAAAAAAGGATTTTTTCTTGTTCCAGATGTTACTCATTTAATTGACTAAATCGCAATTCCTTATTTGAAATTATTTCTCTATGTTCTTGTAGCTGCAAGTGTAGCTTTGAGATTTTAACCCCCAACCAGACTAACGCAGATTGACTATGTGGGCAGTGCTAATGTTTTCCTTTCCAGATTTCATTTCTCAACATTTTTCAAATTACCAGTCTCCTTCATAAAAATCCCTGGCTTTTCTCAAATTTCTTTTACCCTGATGGAATGCCCTGACAATTCCCAGTTTTCCAGGCCTGTAGACACGGTGCTTGGCGACTAGATAAATGTTTGGTACAAGATTGCGTAGACTTAGTAAAAAATTACTTCAAAGGCCACTAAAATGGGGAAAGTACAATTACAAGATCATTTAGATAAATTAAAATAATTGAATTGGGACTGAGTTGTCTTAGGGGTAGCGAGAAAGTCCAAGATCCTCATTCAACACTTTCCCTCAGGTCAAAATTCCAAACTCAAAATCTTGATTTTAAAGATACGTCAAATCATCTGATATGGAATGAAAATTTCAAACGTCTTTCTCGTAATTCTATCTGCCGCAGAAAGATTCACAATTTTTCTTTCATTCATCACGAATGAGGAATATGTTTAATAATGATAATAATAGGAGAGGAAAAAAAATAAAAAATAAGGGTAATAATGAGCATTGGAGGTTGCATCTCTCACTCTCAGCAAATAATACAATTACAAGCGTGATTTTTACAATATTTCTTCCTTGCACGGTTTAGACTAATCAAAAAAAATAATAAATAAATGAATGAAAAGAAAAGTTGAAAAAATCATAGACAAAGGGAATAAGATTGGGGGGGGGGGGGTAAAATAAATTTGTGGAGATAAAGGAAATAAAAACATTTTTCACACAAAAATCATTTCGTTCTGGTATTGGTGGACAGAGAAGTGGCAGTCTTGTTGATTAAAATGAATAAAACATTTCATAAATAAATGAATGAAGAGATCATTAGTTATTCCTCGGGGTTTAAGTCTGAGGTAGTCGCTGGAAGGAGGCCTTTAACATTAAATGTAGGTAAGAAAATAATAAATTTCGAAAACAATTTTTTTCATATAAATGAGAGATTTCGTTTTTTGGGGTTCTTCACAATATTTGCGCTTATACTGACGGTTACTGGTCAAAATCAGCAGGAACTTCGGTATGAATTCATGATGAGGAAGTCAATTTTTTTCTAAGAGCTTACTAGCAATTGCACTTAGTGCAGTCATCCTGTCAAACTTATTAAAACAATAAATAGATATGTAAGCGGATTTTTTTTGGTAGCGGACAGATAGTTCATTCATTAGCCAATTAGCATTCATTCATAACGAAAAGCATTCTCTAGCTTAAATGATAGATTATTGCCAAACATGAAGCAATATTGAGGAAATTTAAGAGAATAATTTGAGGAGAGTTTAAGGCCTTTTTCCAGTAGGCCCCTCAATTTTTAGGCCCCTCGATTCTTGTCTGATAGATGATGATATGTATTAGAAAACAATGAGCCCTTATTGTATTGAGGTATACATCTCCAGGAAAAATATTCAAGGAGAGATTACTAATTTAAAAAAAGTGTATTTTTCAAAGAAAATACACTAAAAGGGGCTAAATCCTTAAACTTTAATATTTTACACATAATTCTGAGGATCAAAAACAAAATCACACAGTTTGCTGAAAGAGTGGTAAATGTTCAAGATAACTGGGTTTTTTCCTTTTTTTCCTCCTAAATTCGGTGCTCTATTGGAAGGGCAAAAAAATTACATATTTTTTCGACAGTAACTTTAATTCCATCAAATTAATTACACAAATTACCCATTTTGAGGTTTACGAAAAGAATTATCCTACTTTAGAGCAAAATGCTAGTATATATATAATAAATGAGGTTTTGAGATCTTCACGGCTAAGGAGTATCAAGATTGCGTTCCGAAAAAAAGAACAAACTTCTTGCATTATTTCAGACATGAAATTTTGATTTGCCTAAAAAGATGAGTGCTTCAATACCTAAATAGGTTCATGCACTTTACTCCTTTTTGAAAAATGATGTCTATCTACGAGTTGGTGATGCAACTTCACAAGTCTAAATTTTCATTGTTGTTGGGTGATCTGCTATTGCTGGGGGATGGAGGTTCGCTGAGATGACCAATAAGACTTGGTTTGGACAGCTTTGTTACCATCAATACTGAGGAGCACTAGCTTCCTGTCCAAATCTTAAGGTTTTTAAATTTTGACCTCTCTTGCAAAAAAATTCTTCTCTGGATTCTTGTTCAAAAACATGAACATATCAAGTATTATTTGCAGATGGAGGTGTAACAAAACCGCAGAAACTTGTTTGCGTGCACCATAAAACTTTACATAGAAAACAAAACTCAAGTTTCAGCAACGTGGTCGGGACAGGGATGGGGTAGGGGGGAGGGCTGGATGACAGAGCCTAAATCGATTAAGTTCAACAGAGTGGGACCAGCATTAGTTCTCAAACAAATTTTTAAAAGAAATGAGGTATAAAATTGGATGGATGGATAAAATTCAATTTTATGTGTGCTAAAATAATATCCTTTAAAATGTAACGGTATAATTTTTTATCCTCTTCATGCTAATGGGTTCCTTGTAAATTCGAACTTAAGAGTCATATTTTGAAACCAGGTAAAGTGAGTTGGTTCCTTCCTGCTGAATTTGATCCTCAGGATAATATAAAGGGAATAAAAAACCACAAAAACTTAGGCTAAGTTATGAACCCTGGACAAGTAATAAAATCAGCCACAACTTGTTTTTAAAAGTTGGGTTTAGTTTATAATAAAGTAATTTGTAATAGAGGCATAGATATTCATTGATTTGAAAGCTCTTGATCACAGTTATTGAGAAATTCGAGCAAATTTTTCTAAGGCACGGGTAGAAGTGACCGACAGTAATAAAATTTGGCTCCTCGTTCCCGGTATTGCTTCAGTAAACTAGGTTCTGAAGAAGTCATCAGACGTTCAATAGAAGGAGAAACGGAGTAGAAACTTGTTTTTCTTCGAGTCAGAAAATACTCAGCTTGTCGTTGCATTGGGAAACCTTTGAAAGAAAAACAATTCTTCGCCCGACGTTGAACATTTCATCTTACAAATGCCGCTAATAGGCATTCTCAAAGGAAAGAATAATCGACGAATTTCTACAAGCATCCACAATTCTTCGAAAAAAAATCAGTATTGGGTACGAACAATACAACTTGTAGCTTAGACATTAGTTTTGCTTACATTTTTCAGTGATTAAACAATAATTTCAAATTAAGGCTACACTGTTTCATAAAAGTGCAAAAAAAAAACAAAAAAACAAAAAACAAAGAGTACATCACAGACAAAGATAAAATAGTATCACAGTACAAAGGAACGAAATAAATATTATGAACACAGTACCTATTAAAGCAAGGAAAACCATAAATTCATGAAGAATACAAAGTAGCACCTATTTGCACAGAGGCTATCCTCAATCATGACTACGATTACTTTTCAAGTTCAACTCTTAAGAGAGCATTTGAAACAACAGTATGTTTGTTCCAGTAAATAAATTCGCTGTAAAAACAAGGGTAATATACTGAAGGTGCATCTAATGAGTGTAAGTACAGACTTGGAATATCACTTGTTATTCTAGTTTCACAGCCTGTTTTGTAAAAATTTCACTTAAAAAAAAATCCTTTCTTTTTTCATGCAATCCAGTTTTTCCACAAAGCGGTTATTCTCAAATACCATTACGTTTTCAGTTGAATACACATTGGGATATGTAAGAAAAACCGAGCAGTGTGCCAAGATGCAGATATGTTTCAAAATTAAATGAATTTGTGGTATGTACCAGCGCATTCGTCACTGCCTCAAAATCATCAAGAAAAAGTAGATTCTTTGATAGATTCAGGGTTGCACAAGTGAGATGAAAAATTGGAAATTTCCATGAAATGTTTCAAGAAATTTCACAAAACTAAGAAAAATATTTGTAAGGGCTGGATGTGCAAACGTATTAAAGACAGCATAATGCAAAAACCATACTTTTTTGCGGGTGATTTCAAAAAACATTTTTCAATATCTTTCAAAAGTTTCTGAGATTTCATGAAATATTTCACATGATATTTCAAGATTTTATTTTTCTTGAAAAATTGAACCCTAGTTGCATTGAAGGCACTCAACCAAAAATGTGATTCCAGCCAAAGTGTTGCTGGTAAAAATTCAGCTTAAAATATTGTCAACAATTTTGCAAGAAACAATCAGACTTCTTAAGTTTAGAGTCAACTTTCTAGTCAATTGAAAACAAAGAAACAAAACAAACAGAAATATTTGAGTTTACTCATTGTGACACTTTACTGTCACAATCAGTTATAGGGGCGTCGGAAACTATTCCCAAAATTCTACCTAAAAAAAGATATAAGTGTCCCTAAGTACGTTGGAAATTTTTTTATTGCCAGCAGAGCATTGAGTCTGTGACTTCATCATCTAAAACTAATGACCTAATTTTCGAGAGGTGTGAATATGTACAGCACTTTTTGAGGACCTTTGTAGCACTCTGTAGTCAATTAATCAGAGGCTTGTGCAAAAATATAGAAAACAATTTGTCTTGACCACATTTTAAGATAAGGATCTGACTCCAAATTGATGCGGAATAACTTTTGACAGATATAATTTATTTTTTTGCGAGCATTTCATATATTTCTGCTTGGTTGCACAAGGATCTGGTGCCTGGTTTTAATGCTGAATTTTAATTAAGGTACATGGTTTTACAGCACTTCTTGGAACGATTCAATAGTACGCTAATCAATTGATCATTTCTGGATTTTTGGAGATCTTTTTCACATATGCATGAGTTGCTTCAACAGCATTCTCTGGCAATCTACGATGCTTAACCGCCACAAAACCCTGTCTTCCCATAGCCCTTTAAGGAGTTGACAATCCCTCAATTCATTTAAAACTCTCTGCCACCACCTTTTTCCTAGGCGTCCCAATTATCTCTTTACAGGAGGAACCCAACCAAGCATCTTCTGTTCCATCTGCTTTTTGGATTTTTTTTCAAGAATCCTTAATAATCACATGATGCTGATAGAGGACAGGGATTTGTACACGAGATATGACTGAGAAACATGATGAAATAGCTCTGAAAGTATAATGCAAATCAAAAGACAAAATGATCTGGGATGTTCATGCAAGACATACTTTTGTAGATAATCTGAGGTGTTTCTTCGGCAAATCTCGCATACTAAAGCATGATGTGTTCATTGGGGATTGTTGAAACAATAACTTGAAATTCAGAAAGCATCAATTAATTGGTTGACTATTCTATTGTTCTTCGAGGTTCTGAATCATTTGTCAAAATATTATTCGACAAGTATTCTGTTGATATAGAGATGACAGAGGAGTAATTCAGAGATTTTGCATCAAAATTGCAGGAAGATGGGAATACGGTTTCATCCACCAACCACATTTCAGAATCTGAGCTGAAAACTAAAACTTGGGGTCAAATTAGATCAAGTCACAATCAATGGTTTTAGCATAAATTTGTTTCTCTCATCACCTCACTTGCTTCACCTCAGATAAAGGTTCTCAGGCCTCTAAAAAAAGGTAAACCTATCCTTAGATTTCAGGCACATCTACTTGCGTAATAAATATTCCCCCTGGACATTTGTGCAATTTCTTGTTTAACATGAAATTGACCTACCTACCTACCTATCCCTCCCCCCAAAAAAAATCCTGAAATGCATTCATTCACGATTCTTACATCCATCAAATGTCGTAGGGTAAAAAATTTACTAAATGATAGTACTTAGTACCCTTTCCACAAAGCCTGACAGGAACTAGAGAGACACCCCGCTTCACAGTTTTGGCTCAGATAGAAAAATAACCTGGAAAAATATGGCCTTGAAGGTGAAGAGAGGGTAATCGGTTAAACATTTTCCAAATCCTGAAGAACTTCGGAAAATCATATTAAGTATGTTCATTGTCACAAGCAATTGAACGCATTTAAGATTAACTTTCCCCATCGTGAATTAAAGCCTCAAACACTTGCCTAAAAATTTAGTCACAGTAGGAAATCCTTAAAAAAACCTCTATCAATACAATCTTGACCGGTCTCATATTATCTCTGAAGAACATTCCATTTCTTAGGTCATTAAGATCTCACCCCTTTCCTGCTCATTGTATGTAAAAAGCATTACCTTGTTTTGAGGTATGTGGAGAAAAAGACAAATCCAAGGTCTCTCTTAAAATTTCTCAGAACTAAAGAAACTAAACCGAAATTTGACGATTTTGAAACTGAGTTTTCAATGGCTGTTTCCAAGCGGCAAAGAAAGATAAAAAAACCCCATTAAAATAGATAATTTCAATGAGATGAATAAGAAGAATCCTGCAGATGCAAAGACAATGCGTCACTTTTACAACAGACAACCAGTTCCATTTGACCTTGTATATGAGTTCAACTGTAAAAGACATGATCACTATGATAAAGACTATTCCTACCTGTTTACGACTAACACTTCGCTTTGTCCTACTCCCTAAACCGCCTCCTCTCCGCATTACAAGTTCCTCTCTCAGTGATTCTTCTGTCGCACGTCTGAAGGGCATCTCATCTTCGAGCTCATCATCTTCATTGGCATCAGAAACTGGAAATCAATCATTTAAAAATTTTATTATAATTCAAACACTGTCCTCAAAATTAGTTCGAGACAATTTTTGGAGAGTTGGCATAAACAAAATTATTAGAATAAAACACTGGTTGCATGGACCAGCTCATTTTACGATATTTTCATCTCATTGCTAGGCGATAGGTAGTCCATATAGATCCACAATATTTGATAGCCAGATTTAGATAAAATGAAAAAAGAAAAATGCATAACCAAGAGATTTGAATAATAGAAGAGGTGTAAAAGGTTGATAGATAAGTTTCAAAATTCTCTAAAAAAACTTGAACTATAACCTCAAGAATTCCAAATCTGGTGGCCACAGTGGAGTTCAGACCCTAAGAAATATGTGAGAGACTTTACTAATTCCAATTCTAAAACAAATGTTACGATTCCTTACCAGGTGATAGACCGCCTTGAGGGTGATGCTTCGCACTACTGCTGATTACAAGAACTCTTCGCCTATCTGGAATGCAAAAGATTTACTTATTCACTTACGTTACGACAAAACTAACGTCACATTAACAAAAAGAAGAAAAAATAGCAATAAATGGTTGAAAACGATAACAATAAAGTGTTGTGAAAAATGATACATTCAAGGTGTTGATACGACAGAAAAAATTTCCTGCAACCTGAAATTTTCTGCTCACTCCATGCAAAACAGAAAACAATCAATTTATTCCGTTTGTTTTTCAACAGACCTAGTGGTTCCAAACGTTCTTGTTAGTAATTCAGTAGGTTCAATGAGACTGTTGACACAATTTTTTCAAATCCATTTTTGTGAAGTTAGTTTTAAACAAGAATGTTTTTCCATTTTTCATTTAGTCAAGTTTGAGCTGAGAAAAAAACTTTCTATGTCACCAAAATTCAAATCCTGTTACGAATGGAAAAATATTGCATGATTCTATTGGCAAGGCTGTTCCTGGATCTTGCGACAACCCTTTCTTAAATTGGTGAACGTTTTAGGACAAAGATGAAGACTGAAAAGCTGACGCCCGATTTTCTAATCAAATTAAAATCGAACTAACCACTTTCAACTCAAATGCTTGATATCTAAATCCTCGAGTTTGTTCATCTACTTTTTAAGCAAAAAGGAAAATCTATTGCTTTTTTGGTGAATTGATTTTAATTACCAATTTCAAGAAAACTTGTAGAATCTAAAGGATACAAAAATAATGAATACATTTACCTTTGCCAATTTTTTCTTCTTTCACTGATCTCTTGTGCTTCTTTGGTTTCTCCTCTTTGATTTTAGATTTTTTCCTTTGAACAGTAAAATGTCATAGAATTACACAGAGCAATTAACATACACTTTAGAAAGAATGTGGCGAGATGATTCCATCATAAAAGAGGCAGACAGATGTCACTGGCAGTTCTTAACCTAAGCAAGCCCTTATATGTATACAAATGAGGCAAAAAACTTTTAGTAAATAATGAATTAATGGTGGAAAATATGCTTCAAATCATTCTATGTGCAACATTTGTCCAAAAAATGGCCATATTGCATTAAACCTCCACCTTGCAGTCTGCAATAATTCAGACGTTTTTCGCTTGAGTCAACGCAGCACCACTGATGGCAGAGAGCTCAAAAAAATACATGAGAAATTTCATGGACCTCTTCTGTAAAACCGTTACAAAGAATTACCTACTCAGTTTACAATGAAAAAAATTGCTCCTAAAAATTGGCCTCATCAATAAAAGAATGAACATTCAAAGTTGTCACAGAATTAAGAAGGTAAATTTCCTTGATCTGTGGAGACCCTAAGAAAGAAAGAAAATAAATAGTACTTACTTTCCTACGACACTTTCAAATGCTGACTGAACAAGACGTGATGGCAGACTTTCGTTCACTGACCCAGCCTACATGAACAGATATGTAAAATACAAAAATATATTTCAATAAAACTGAGAGAGTTTAAGACATGTTTCTTTAAACAGTCAGAAAGAAACAAGCAGGTTTACTTCAATCAGAGCTGAATTTACTTTGATGCGGGAATACATGTTTAAGAGCTTAATTGATTGCAATTTTCAAAATTATTAGTGACATGAATTCACCCCTGACTTGTAAATGACCTCACTGACGATAATACCAATATTATAGTTGCCAAAAGGCATCAATTGATAACTTCACCCACACACATTTGATGACACAAAATGCCATTTAGTTCTCGTGAATAGCTTAACTAATAATATTTTTTTAAAAAAAAAAAAAAAAAAAAAAAAAAATCACCAGATGATAAGAATCTGTCAAACGAGATATATTAGCTTATATATTATACCTGAAGCAATGCTAAAAATTTTGGGGAGAAAATGGACTAAGTAACAAGCAAACAAACAAACAAAACCTCTACAGCAACAGAGTAGGGGCTAATATTGACCATGTGACCAGGGTCTTCAAAGGGCTCACCTGATTCATTCGTTCAGCTCTCCGTCGTTTCAGTTCATTCCTCAGATCCATCTCTTCATCGCTTTCTCGGTCCCTTACTTTGTGTTTCTTGTCCTTCTTCCTCTTTTTCCTTTCCTCTTTCTCCTCCTTTTTCTTCACCTTCGAGATTTTTTTCACAACACTTTTGTCGAGCAACTCGAGGAGAGGTTTCAACTTGATGAGGGGTTTTGATGCTGCATCTGATGATTCATTAGGTTGACGAGGAAAAGAATTCACTTTGTTCATCGATAATTTATGGATGCCTCCTTTATCACTCGATAACTCTGGTTCATTGATTTCCATTGGATCTAAGAGAAATAACAAGCAACAAGACAATTAAAAGCGTGGACAATCAGGAGATAAACATCTATGCAAACATCCACTTCAACTCCTTTTCTTTTTGGGAATTATGTGAAAAGAATATGAAAAAATGAGAACAAGTGAGCTGATAAAATAATTGTTAAATAGCGTAAAAATGATCAGCTCTTTGTTTCAGCAAAGAATTAATGCTGAAAAAAAACAAAAAAAACAAAAGGCCCGAGTTAGCACTATCCAATAGATACCGAGTATGACAATTAAATCGAGATTTTGAAGGCCAATTGATAGCATGTTCAAATCATTTGAACATAATTTTTTGGCCTGTTGAACATGAGAGATATGCAGCATTTTATCATTTTGCTTACAACACTTGTCTTCAAATATGTACATTCCAACTCATTTTTCACAATTTTTTTCAGTCAAAAAAAGTGTGTGTGTTTTGAGGGAAATGGGGCATAGCACAAGTTTTGTTACCCTGACAACCTGCTACCAAGAGCAGCTCTACTCACATGGCTTAATACAAACAGAAGTATTACTGATATTATAAAAAAATAGATACATGAGATGTGGGAACTTACCAAAATTGATAACTAAAGCTGAGTCTTCCATCTCTCCAACGCCTTCACCTCGCGACGAGGGAGCAAATTCATTTTGGAGTTGGGTAAAGTCATTAATATTCGTCAGAGCAGCATTGTTATCAATTTCTTGCTTAATACGTACAGGCAGCTCAGGTAGCTCCTCAGATTCGTTGGGCTCTGGAGGCTCTGCCCATGAGGGTAACCTTTTTCTTTGGAACTCTTGCATCATGGGAATACCTGCAAGGGGACCCTGTTCTTGGAAAAAGGCAGGGTTCATTTCTCTCTCGTCTGAGCAATTTGGTAACTCTTCTCTCAGTGGATTTTGAGCGGTGAGAGGTTTCCTAGAATTGTCTTCACTGATAGAGAGATTCTCTTGACTGGAACTAAGAGCGTTTAATTTTATCTTCTTTGGGACAGGTTTGACTACATCTTTGCTTTCAAATTTTCGCCGCCGTGCCTCCAACACAGGATCTAATTGCTCAGCAGGGGCTAACCTCTCTTTGGAATCGCTGTCAACAGGTGATTTTTTTCTCTTGGTTTCAGTTTGTTTCCGACGGTCCAGTATTTTCTCTCGGGCATCAAATTTCCTTTTAGCATTGGTATTTTCATCAGTCTTAGGAGGACTAGATCGACTAGTTGAAGAGGCAGGCACTTTATGGTCTAATTTCCGTCCGTGAGGAGATCTGTGCCTAGAAGTGGAGAAAAAAAGGGGGGAAAAGGTTAGAATTCAAGAATTCCAAAAAGTGGAAGATCTTGGGTACTCAAAATAAAATTCTCAACTGAATTACTGAAGTACACGCATCTTCGTTTGAGGCACTAAGGTTGCTGACATTCAAAAATATATTTCTTGCTTAAAATTATCAACAAAACCCAGACGAATACTTCATGATGACTTCATGAACACTATTCGCTTACCACCCCAACAGGTAGGAATAGAAAGTTAAGAAGCCAAAGACATTTTTTTTCATACATAAAAAAAAACTCCTTTCCAAATGAGCTTATGAGCAGTAATGCCTCACATTTCTTGAAATCGTCAATTTTTGTATGAATGATAGAAGACTCGCTGTTCATCTCTCCAACTAGAAAAATTTAGTAAAGTTCATGATAAACTATCAGGCATCATTTCCCCGGATTTGTTCAAAGGCAATATTTAGTTGGTTCTAGATTTGTACTTAAAAAGCTACTATTGTGAGATCGATGGCGTTCAGTAATCAAAATAAGGGCAAAGGAAACTACGACCACTGCCGAAATTAGGCACAAAAAGCAGATACTAATTTTCTTGCTAGATTACAGAAAAACAATTGAAACAAATTTTGGATATAATTTTAAGCATTGGCACCTTGTCAATTTTTTTAGAACTCCCTTCTGAGTCTAGAATAACTGTTGTTATTTTCTATTTTCCATGGCCTTCTTAGAACTCTCTCTTTATTTTGAACTGCAGGGAATAATTTAAAATATGACAACCGAACAAAGAACTTCATAAAAAAGCAAAAAATGTGTAAGACGTTACCTATTTTGCTTGGGTGATGTTGACCTTTTATCAACCTCTGATTTTTTCCAACGAGGGGATTTGGATCTGAAAAAGGAGGTAGTGATTAAAATTTTGTCGCAACATTAGAAAACGTTGCTGTAAGTTAATTTAAAAGTCATTTTCAGCATATTTACATCAGTGTGACATTTTAAATTTTCCTTATGTCTACACGCTTTTGAGTTTGTTTTGATATAGTTTCATACACTTTTCAATGGCTTTGGTGTCCGCCACATAGGTACGTCCAGATGAGAAAATTCTTGTTTTTTTTTGTGTTCAAAAGTTGTTTAGGAAGTTTTGAGATGAAATGCGTCATTAATTCCCAATATTGTACTCAAGAACAGAACTTCTGAGTTGCACGTTACCAGCTTGTTCCATTAGTCTGCTTCTCTGAGAGCTAATTTCATACAATTGTGAGAGAAAGAGAAAAAAGGAATGGTTCTATTTTGTTTGCATTTCCGCTTCTCATTATAGATTTGTCAAATCATCTAAAACTTCTATTTTCTCAAAAGATTTGAATAAATCTACATACAATCCAAACAAGCTGCGAGGCGTTTTAGAGTACTATATGGAGCTAGGACTCTTTTTGTAAACAAGAAAAAGTAACAATTTACCTTTGACGTGAATTTGAAGTTGCTTTTTCAGATGAAAATCCGGGGCTTGAAGACTTTTGAGGATTATACCTGTTGCTGGGCGACCTTCTTGGCGAATTTCGGCGATGATGAGAGCGTTGCAATCTTGGCGAACCTTGTCTCCTTGTGGGTGAAAAATTTGTGCTGTTTCGTGGTGATCTCCCAGGAGAAATAGCTCTTTTATTAGGAGATAATCCATCAACAGGTGATTTTGATCCAACAGGTGATCTTGGTCTTCGCACTGGAGATAGTGGTCTTCTACTAGGTGACCCACGACCTCTAGTTGGTGATAATTGTCTTCTTAACGGTGAAATTGCTCTTGATGACGGTGAAAATGGCCTCCTACCAGGATGCTGTGATCGCCGCTCTGGGGACAACCTCCTGCTCGGCGAAAATTTTCGTGGAGAGGTTGGCCTCCTTACAGGTGATAATGATTTCTTGCCAGGAGATGAAGGTTTCCGAAGAGGCGACAATGGTCTCCTGTTAGGACTTAATGGTCGCCTTACTGGAGAAAGTGGTCTTCTGGACGGTGATCCATGCCTCCTGACCGGGGAAAAGGCCCTTCTGGATGGTGATCCTGGCCTCCTCAAAGGTGAAAGCCGTCTTCCTGGAGACAAAGGTCGTCTATGAGGAGATAAGGGTCTTCTCCGGGGTGATAATGACCTCCTGGGAGATAAAGAACGTCTATCAGGTGAAAGTCTTCTGGGAGGAGATCTTAACCCTGGGGAGCCAATTTTTCGAGGCGGCGAGTCAGGATGGCGACGCAATCTTCTGTCAGGTGATCTTGATGGTCTTCTGGACAATCCTGTTCGTCTATTTGGCGACAAAGGCCTCCTACCAGGGGACAATCTTCGAGATGGAGAATACGATCTCCTACCAGGAGATGGGTAACGTCTGCTAGGAGACAGGGGTCGCCAACTGGGGGAGTGTGGCCTTCTGACAGGGGATGGCCTGCGCAAAGGAGAGAGTGGTCTCCTGGGTGGTGATCTGGAAGGGGTCGGGGAGCGATGCCTGCGAGGTGACAAGGAAGAGGAACGACGACCTCTAGGTGGCGAGCCCAATCTTCTACCAGGTGATTTGGCTCGACTTCCCACAGGACTCAAGTACCTAGAATACCTAGGTGGAGACCCTGTTGGTCCAGCTCTATAAGTTGGAGATAAAGGAGAGGGAGACCGCCTACGCCTATCCAAGAATCCTCTGGGCGAGGGAGAACGTGAATATCGCCTTGACGGAGGAGAGAAATTTGGTGACTTTCTCGAGTGAACTGGAGATGTGCGATAGTAGGGAGGTGAGCGTGACCTGCTTCGGAATCTTCTTGGTGAGTATTGCCTGGATCTGGGTAAAATTGGTTCTATACCTGATCCTCTACTTGGAGAGATTGGTTTGGACCCCCTGGGTGGCGACCTATGGAGTGGTGGGCTGAATTCAGTTCTTGGTGGGGGTAACGATGTTTTACTAGGAGCAGGTGATAATTTTCTAGCGGATGGCGATTTGGGTCTCTGATGAGAGCTAATCTCTTTCGAATTATCTATAGCATCGATATTAGTTGTGCTATGACTATCTGAATTTGAAATAGAGCTACTTACAACTAAATTGGAAACATTTTCACTAGTTTCTATTTTACAATTGGCTTCATTGACGATGATATTGGAGGCATCCTCAAATTTCGCCAATTCTTGTTCTGACTCTTGCGGATTATCACAATATTTTACAATTCTAATTTCTTCATTAGAGTTAATGGACTTAGACTCTTTTGCATCTAAATCACTTGTTTTTGAAGACTTGCCGTCATTTGTATCGTATATTACTATAGAGCTCTGCTTAGTTTTCTTTACAGGAGTCTTGGTTGATTTAGCTTTACTAGGTTTGACATCTCCACCACTCATTTCTTTTTCCATTTTTTCCATTAACTTATCTAGGTCATCCTCATCATCATCTAGTAAATTTAACACATCAGGATCTTCTTCTTCCTCTTTTTCATCTTCTGCATCTTCATCTTCAGAACTTTCACTGGAGTCGGAGTCCTCTACTTCATAGCGGCTGAACTTTGAAGATTCTGAAAAAGGAAAAAATTTGATGACAGAGTTTTAAGGGACAAAGTAAAGCAAAGATCTTGGAACCGTATTAAACAGTTTCCCTAATTCTCTAAAAACTTAGACCTTTCTGACCTCTCATTATTCATGGTAGTAAATAACAATTCTTTCATGAGCCACAAATGTTGATCTAACACACATCGTATCTTGTGGTGTCCTATCTTTTGGAGTGATAATATGCAAGAAAATATTTGATTCACTCAGATCATGAGATATATTTGAAAATTATAACAAATGATAGGACTTGTTTATTTGGAGAGATTTTATTTTACAAAGTTGTTCCATTTTCTGCTGTTATTTCTAGGAAGTAGGTATATAAAGCATTTAGAATGATGGGTACGGTTATTAATTGAGCATTACCTTCAGTCTTTTCTTGTTCTGGTTCTTTTGAGTTGGCTGTCACTTTGCAGTATCTATGCTGCGGTAAATCCAAAGAATTGTATAATTTATCTTTATCCGTAACTGTCTTAACTGGTTTTTCAGGACCTGTCTTTGTGGCTTCTTCAACTTTCTCGTCTGCTGAGGCATCTAGTTTTTTCAGGTTTTGTGACTGTGTTAGAGTGATCAAGTTGTTGTGAGCTGTTGGACTCGGTGCTGGAGGTCTCACGTGAGGAGGTGGAGCACGGGGCCGCATGTGCATCTGTCCCCGACCAAAGGGGAAACCCTGACACAAATTTATGAAAAATTAAAAACAAAAAACAAGCTAAATCATCTCATAAGTAGCTGGAAGACATTACAAATTTTGATCATCAGAATTAGTTGAACAAGCAAACTACACTCATTTTATGAAATTCAAAAATTTTATAGAAAGCGTGAATTAAAATTTTAACTTAATACTACCATTTTTTTAAAAAAAAAATTCAAATTTATTCAAAATATCAACAGTGTAAGTCAGTAATCACATAACTCAGTTTGCAACGATGTAGAATTCCTGTCATACTTTATTTTTTAAACGGAAGACTACTCAACGGCAATTCCTCAAAACTGCCATGATTTTTCTTCTCCATGCAAAGAAACTTCTGCAAAAACTTCAAGGAATGATGTCAATTTGTTCTCATTTAGAACAATAATATTGAAGCGGAGATTTTCAGACACCGCTAACAAGATATGTGATTGCGGACTTACGCTGTCAATATATAATTCACACTCTACTTATGCCAAAGTTCAGAAATTTTAGTTGGGTCAGGACTCATTTGCAAAAACGCTGAAATGGTAGTCTAACAGTTTTGTAACAAGAAAATTTTTGCTACACTCTGGTCAGAATTCAAGTGGAACACTGCTTCCTCTCTCTTTGTTGGTTAGTTTGGCTAGTAATCAAAGTAGGTTGTGTGCCAAAGTGTTGTTAAATTGTTTAATTCTGGTGTTTTCTCAAAATCGAGGTGTTAACCTAAACCTAAGGTGCAGTAAAGTGCATGAATTCTGTAAGAAGAAAATTCACTCACCCTTTTTCCTCTTTTGCCTCTTGGGGGCCTTCCTCGAGGACGCAATGGTCCACCGATTTCATTAAACATAGGGCCAGGTGGCGGTGGATAAAACATGCCATCTGGTCCTGGGGGTCGTGGAAATGGAAGATTTGATGGTGGGCCCATCATCGGCGGAGGACCTTCAGGATGGAAGCCTTGAGGAACATCGACTGGCGCCGGATAACCAAAGTCAATTTGGCTATTATCAACTGGATGTAATGGAATGCGGCTCAAACCTTCTTGAGGGTATGGCACATTATTCTGATAGAGAATGCCTTCAGGTGGGGGAACATTTTGGTATCCCATTTCATTGGATGGGAACGATTGGTATACTGGTTGGATCTGATTGGAAAAGGCGTTGCTTTCAGAGTAGGCAGGCCCGCTGCCCACTTGTTGAGGCTGAGAGTTAGTGTCATTGTTCCGTTTCAGTGACTCTAAAGCTGCTAGTCTTAGTGCCTCAATGTCATCTTCATCATCACTCATACTCTTCATCTAAAAAAAGAAAACAAAGAAAACCATACTAATAAATATATTGTGGGAGATGAACTTCAGCCAAAAAAGGAAGATCAGTGATCAACAATGTCACAGAATACTACAACTTAGTTTGACATCACAAATTAACTCTTAATTAGATTGCATTTTGCAAACAAGGACCAAGAGCATTCCAATGTCACAAGGATCATGCAACTTCTTTATCCTTACAAATAAGTATTAACTGATTTTCTGAACAAGTTTAATCTTTACTCTCAATAAACTATAAATTCAAGATAAAAGTTACTTACTGTTGTCAATTTAATTTTTTTCATGATTTCAGCAAGTTTATTGCAACCTTCTAAGCTGCATAATCCTTGCAACATTGGAATGCTCTTTGTTCCTTTTGGCAAAATGCAATCCATTTAACCCATTCACCTCATTTGATGAGCACAATCGTCAGCGTGCGCCTGGGACAGCTAAGTTGATGACTTAATTTGCGCCACCTATCAGCACTGCTACGCACTTGTTTTGATCGTGTTTTTTTTTCATTCTACCAATAGATGGCGTCTCATGCGTAGCAACGCTGACAGATGGCTCGAGTTAACTCATCAGCTGACATATGTCCTAGGCGTCTTCGCTGGGATGATGATTAAGCCTGGCTATGTACTTATGCAAGAGACGTGTGAGGTGTTCTTGGACAGTCTCCATGTTTGCATTTGAATGAATGACATCTACATAAGAATAATTATGGCAACCGGTAATTTACCCCAGGAATTGGTTCTGTGCAACTTGTAGAATTTTAAGGATGGAGGGGGGAGCAGTTCCCGAAATTTGGGAGCCATGGGCCCAGACAGGTCTGATAACAGTCTTTTAGAGGAGTAATTTTTTCCAAAGGGAAACTTTAAAGGATAACACTGCATCTTCCATTTTAGGTTAAGTTAGGTAAAGCTCCTGGGGGTAGAGGCGAAGGACTAATATTACACTCAGGAGACATAACCATGTGGAATTCTTGGTCAATTTTCTTTACTCTCTCATAAATGGTCCTATACTAATAAATTTACCTCGTTAAAAACAATGGCAGAGCAAGGAATACACGCATCAAGGTTACAAACAGCAAAGCGGGGCAGATGGGTTCGATAAAAAGGTCTACCCTTGGCAATCAAGTAGCTTCGCTACAGATAAAGCTACAGAATTTGACGCACCCGACTTAGTCGCACTAAGTAATATAAGATTGATTATGCAGAGAGAAAGCAGTACACAAAAAGAGATATAGTAGTCAAAATTTCAGTGTGGAATAGGTATCCTCCATGTTGTTTCTGGAAGAAGGATGTGATGCAAGTAGACACACAAGCAGGACTTACATTGGAAATTTGTGGCAGAGAATTGAGGAACCGTATTTTCAGTAGAATTTAAAAAGCATGATGAACTGATCAATCTGAAACAACTTAGTGCAGAAAGGCGAATTCGAACGATTAGCACTACTTCAATTACAATGAACTAATCAACTTTCAGACTTTCACAGTTCTTCTTCTTTCACTGACTGATNGGGGGGGGGGGGGCAGCTACTCTGTGCGTCACACGTCACGTGAACTATGACGTCACGGAAAGCAATATGTCAAAAATAGCGGGTAATTCAAATTTACACTTATGAATTTTAAAGTGCTTGATATAAAAACGGCTTTTTTCGCCCCTCCGTGGAATTTCTTCAAATTTTGTCGAAAGATTACTCATACTTGAGCGCTTCTTTTCCCAAATTTTCGGACCCCCAAAAAAATTTTGGAGAGGCGCTAGGGGNGGGGGGGGGGGGGACTGAGACTGTGGAAGTAAAAAAAAAGTCAGAAAAGTCAAGAAAGATATCGAGGACCGGTCTGGACGAAAACTCGGCTAAAATTGCATACTTTAAGACTGTAAAGATCAAAATCCCGATATCACGTTGTCAAGTTAATACGTATGAGCTTTTTTACAGTTTTTGAATTGATAAAATTTCTTTTAAACAAAGAAATCACAAGTTACTCATTTTTTTTTTTTTTAATTAAAACCAGTTTTTAAAATTGTTCGTTTTATCCGCATGCAATAAAGGTACTCTAGCCCAATAGACTGGGGAAATAAACGGTTCCGGAGTTATGAGCGATTGAAGTTTCCACTCCGCGCGCGCTGACTGATTTTTGCGAGCCAAAATATAGTTTCAAAGCCGGATTTGGGCGTCAATCAATCAGATCAAATGCTCAAACCGTGCAAAATTCTTGAATAATTCAAAAAATTCTTCAAAATTCAGATTCTTGCAGGTTGCCGAGTTCAGAAAGAACGGATACTTCCAAAAAATGCCTTTTTTTCCGCAGTGCGACTTTAGAGGCCCACCGAGTGCCGACCGACCAGTCGCGCAGTGGGCCTCTAATAAGTCGCACTTCGAACGTAAGCTGCGTTGTCGAAGTCAACTGTTGAGGAGCGTTGGGCAATGGAATTACCCGATGCCCAACGCTCGGCGTTGTTAGACTTCCGTTGGGATTGCCCGATGTCCTGGACTGTTTACCAAACGGAAGTCAACAAGTCATCGGTCTCAGGAGGTAGTTGAGAGCGGAGTTCAATCGTCGACATCGGCAGAAGTCGAATTCGAAAAAAGGGCAGTCGTCGACTCGAAGCGAACGGGTCGAATGGTTCCGCGAACTGCCGCGAATGTCATGAGCATTCGCCGGGGCGAGTTCGGACGAGTTTGTTATTGTTTCTCATTAAACTAACCCCTTTTGAGGACATTAGTAATAGTGATAGTACATCTACCTATTTAATAGTCAAGAATGTCTAATATTTTTCACTGAATAAATTTTCGCATGTCGTCGGATAAATTATTTTTTTGGCAGTGTGTCTGTTAGTAGTAATTTCTTGCCTAGCCACTGCTGTTCATTGTCGGAACGGTGGGAAGTTAATCGAAGCTGTTAATCCGGAAGTGTTTTTGAGTCAGTTTAAATTAATTAATTAATTTCTTTTTCAGTCTGAGCCCTAATTGAGTGGACATTCTACGACTTTCGTGTAGGTAGGTGGAAAAATCCACTTTTTGAGGAAAAAGTAGTCTTTCAGCAGTTCATAGATTATCTCCACTCGCTACCACGCCAAAGGAGCATATCATTGCGTCTGATCATTGAAGGTTTCTTGAGAACCAAGTTGATGAAAAATGCAGATGAAACTGTAGCTTTTCTTGTTCTTGAAAAACTTTAATGGCAGATTTTCTCATACAGCGAGGGAAACGTCTCTGCTCCATGGTCATAGTCGCCATGACTGAAGATTTCTTCGATGGTAAAGTTCCTTATGACCTTTAATACGCTTTAATATCACAGGTCTTTACATCTACTTCATTGTAAGTTGCTTTCAAGCCTCTACTTTGACAACTTTATTCTTGATGTGGAAGCCAACGTTTTGTTACCCACAGGAGTTACTTGGAAATAAATACATTCATGTAGGATACCTAGAATTTACTACCGACACAGTTTCCTTTGCTTCAATCTGCTTTTGCGCAGTTCCTCATACTGTAACGTGACAAGACTGAGTCATAGAAGGGTGCCTCGGCTCCCTACTAAAGAGAGACAGGGTGCTGAAAACACGAACACAAAAAGATAAGAGGATGAAACACTAAGTATACTTGACTGCAAAAGTGAAAGAGCCGGCTGAGGCCCAGCCTCAAAGAAGTACAACTGGAACTTCTCACACTAGTCCTAATCGGAACATTTTAATTCAAACATGGAAAAAGTTATGACATAGGTACCTATCGAGCATTCTTTTTGCACATCGCGGTAGGACATGATACTTTCAAAGACGAGAAAAATCAAGTTTATTTTCCATGAAATTAAAAAAAAAATTAGGCATTTTCACCGCGACTTGTTTCTGAAAACACAGAAATGAGACATTGATTTTTACACGCAACTACATAAGAGTTTTTCACTTTCATTGCAGAAATTTGAAGTTCATTTTCTAAATCCTTCCATTTTAAGGGGATGCATAATGAAGGTGACATCACTTAACCACAATCCTATCTGCAGTTGCATCATTTCAGATGTTCTTAAATTTTTTACTATTTTGAAGCATAACGGATCAGTACATGAAGAAAAATTGCATGTAATGCACCGATTCTGAGATGCTATCAATCCATATTCCTTGCTCAATGGAAATTTTTCTAGGTTCACCATTGATGTGTATGTCTAATCACATTAAAAGATAAAAATAAATAAAAAAAGCCACTTAGCGCCCCAGCTGGGTCTTATTAGAAAAGATATTAAAAAAACTTAAATTCCCTCCAAGTATCAGAATGGAAAAATCCTGAAGACCTTTCTCTTCAAATCATGGTGCAAAATTAAGAGGAGAACGTTTCTCCAAAGTTCATTTTCAATTAAGTCTATTATTGGACATAGCCTTTCTCTGATGAAGAAAAGGAAGACACTAATGGTGACGCTAGGCTTTTATTGCTCATCAGTCGAGGTCAAATTAAAAATCGAGACCTGTTTACTTAGGTATCTACTTTAAGGGTCAGAAACAAAGCATAAATTTAGTTTAATTTACAACCATTGATGGAATTTCCTGATCCATTATGGCTCTCGTTCTGCTAAGAGAGCTACTTAAACTTAGAGGTCTTTAGTGTCGTCCACGGCAAAGACAAGCAGCCTATACATAATGCTCCATTTGCAACAAACGATAAAATGAAAAGTAAAATAAAATGAAAAAGAAAATGCACAATGGTGAACTAGGTTCGATTGGTTCGGTGCGTTCGGGCATCGACGTATGACCGTTCGCGAATCGACCTCTGACCGTTCGCCACGAATCGACCATTGCCGATGTCGACCTTTGCTACTCGTTCGTAGTTGAGAGCGTTGAGCTAACCTCTAAATGATATTGTGCACGCGGTGTCACATTCAAAACACAACAATTTTTAGTCAACAGAGACGACCAACAACGCGTTTTCCAACGGGTAAGTCAACTGTCACGTGATATCCGTTAGCGTTGAGAAGCCCAACGCAAACGGAAAGTTGACTTCGACAACGCACCTGTTGTTTGTTTTGAACTTGAACAGGAATAAGGTTAGGTTAGTGTTTGTGTTTCCTCTTTTTCCTTTTCCGTTCTTACGTTCAGTCACGTTCAACACAATTATGATTTGGATTTCTATCAAGATGTAATTTAATTTTAATGCGGTGAAGTTACTTAGTCATAATCACGTGGATAATGCTTATTTTTCGTAGTTATAAGTTTTAAAGGACAGCTTTGTCAAAGACTTCAACATGGATGAAGTAAGAAAACTCGAGCATCTATCACTGGTTTCGAAGATATGTTCAGAGTTGGAAAATCATTTTGGACTAAACGACAAGGACCTCGGTAATTGATATTGTCACTCTTACATTTACTTGTATCATACTGCATTTACTAGCCTCCCTAAACAAGTCAATCAAGATCTTTGAAAAGAAAGCTCTGAAAGTTTTTGATGACAAATTATCATAGAAAACTGCGCTCCGTCTTTTAAGAGACCTTCCTGCAACTGTTATGTACCTTCCTGCGAAGGTAGAAACCAATGCTTGCTGCAAGCAAAACCAGAAAAGTTTACTTTTCCTGAGGCCCACCATATGCATTTTCACCACTTCTATAAGTGGAGTTTTTCATTTTATTTATTTAATTTACACATTTACTTACAATGACATAAGGGCTTTTTTTTTATGCGGATCGCGAGGAACATCGGTATTTTTTTATTCCGTTCCTCAGCGTGATCCAAGCGTTCCAGGTGGATCAGAGTGGAATGCTGGATCGCTCTTCCGAGGTGGGGCGAGCTCGCGATTCACTGTGATCCTAACCTAATGCGAGGAAGTTTCCGTCCCCAAACAATCAAAACAATAACAAATCGAACCAAATTCCAAGTTTTGAATTTTTTATCACTTGGAACACTTGGATCGGTCCGGATCGCTCAGGATCCCGATCCAGTGCGTTCCACCGTAATCCACCCTGATCCGCGATAAAAAAAAGCCCTATAAGGGGTTTTCTTTTTCTGATTGGTGAAACCACCGGTTGAATTCCACCGGTTGCCATTTTGGTACGAAATTGCCCGCGATCAGTCGGGAGTTTAAGAACGCACTTCCCACCAATGTAAACAAATGGATTTCTTCCTCTCTACAAACCTTTACCGCAATGATACTGCAATTGTGCAAATATACACTCAATTCACCAGCATTAACTCCTTTTCTGCAGTAATTAAAGTATGAGGAAAAATAACAATAAAAAATATTACATAATTCATTTCAAAGGCTATCATCACTGTACAGTGACGATGCAGAACAGAATAATCAGACTCAGCAACAGTGGGCAGCCACGATTTCTCGTTTGTTTGTTTATTTATTTTAGGCCTGAGATTAGGCTGAAGTAGGGTTAGATTGTCCACCGGTGGACTGGTGGATTGAAAGTATCGGAGAAATCTCCGGTGCTCCGAGCGGTAGATTGGTGGTACCACATTCACCGACGGTGGCTCCTCCGGTCGTGACGTCAGCACCGACCGGTGAGTGAAAGAACGCAGTTTGGTGATCGGTGATACCGCCAGTCAATAGAAGAAAACCCCTTAACAATCAATCACATAGGAAAACATAGAAGCCATCACATCTGTTTCTAGGTCATCAGGAGTGCTTCACTTTAAAATTGAAAATAGATTAGCATTTCAGTCACCCTAAAGTACAGTGTCAATTTTCGCTAAAAAGTAAGGGCTGCCTTTTCCTCAACTTACACTTATTCCAAGGTTTATTAATCATTTATTGAGAAAAAAAAATATCTTAACTCTATGGCATGGTGTAACGATTGCGTTACTTCACATTTTTTATTTTTAAAAATAGAATCATTCTTTTGTGGCATGATGTTGCAAATTTATATCAGTGTTTTCATTTTTAAAACATGAAAAGACTCCTGGCCAAATGAGTTTATGCATTTTCATACTGTGACAGAAAATCATCTAACATCATTTTGACATGTTAAGCAGATGCCAGAGGCAAGATGGCAGGTCTTCTGTCGCTGTCTAGAAGTGCATAAACTTATTTGCAATGGACTCGACCAAAATTTTGATATATTGAGAAAAAAAATTGGAACTCAAAGTATTTACAGAAGTTACAGCATAGATTTGCGCTCCTCAAAATCCAAAATGAAATCTAGTCATAGAGGGTCAAGGACAAACTAAATAAAGACAGTTAGAATCAAATTCACATACTGCACAAGTTACATTCTAAGTTAAAAATTGGAAGATGTAGAGAGACAGGAAAACTAAATTCAAGCTGATACAGAAAAAAGGAATGATTTTGCATGCAATTTTTGGTGCTGAAATGGATTTTTGGCGGTGATCTGCCGGCTTTTCGAGACGGGACCGTATCTGTAATGAAAGAATTTGCCAGGTGATGACGGTTGAAAAAGATATCATGCCTGACGTCATGTCTAGGCAGTTATGCTGGTATGGACTTGTGCAAAGAATATCGGAGGAGAGGTGGGCACAAGTTTTACATTGGGTACCATCTAGGAAGAGGCAACAGGGACGTCCTGTAAAGGGTCGGCGGCAGGGCGTTGACAAAGAGATGTTGCGTTGTCAGTTGCCGGATAACCTCTGGGAGGACAGGCATACGTGGCGTTTGGGTGTCGCAGAACGCCAGAGTGTATTGTAGGAGTGACTTTATATATATACACAGAAAAGAGTGTGGTGAAATTATGAAGTGTCTTGAATCAACCTAAGATCAAATTTGAGCATACTCCAGAACTTTTTTTCAGATTATTTTTTTCCTTATTTTCCTTATTTTTTTTTTTTTGGCACCCTTTATGTAAGTATCAGTGTATTTTATGAAAAAAAGCTTCATCAAAAGAATTAGATGTTTTATTCTTATATTCCGACTGCTGTTTTGCCGATACTAAAACTAATTAATACCCGGTCAAAATTAGAGTGGAGCTTTGTGTGTAGCTCAAGATACCTATTCAATTCTTTCCAAGCAAATCATTGTGATATTTTAGAGATCACGTTAAATAAGTTAATGCACTTTTAGACTGCTACAGAAGATCTGTCATCTTGATTCTTTCATGCACCCATGCTAAAATGATGTCAGATCTCTCTGTCACAGTCTATAAATGCGCTCACTTATGTGGTGTGGACTCTAGTGCTACATAGGATTTGCTCATCACTAGTTTGCCCAGAGTTTTAAGTTACGATCCATCCAAGTAATTAGGTTCTTTGGATACTTTGACAACTGATTCTCTTACAGTGCCATGTTGTGTTACTAGTTTCACTTGTTCAGTGATACTGTCAATTCCTAAATCTAGAGCCCAAAAGAATTCATAATTAAAGTAGCCTTATAATCGTAAATCTCACACACTCAAGTTCACAATTCTATCTCGATCCTTTTCCAGTTTAAACCGTTGACACCTGGGTATGATTGCTTCCAAATTATTTTTCCCCAAAGTGGGTACTTCTTATCTGTCCAAGTAGGTCTGCACATGTCAAGGTCATAAAAGTTGCCCAGCTACCTAACTAGGATTTCTCCTTTCAGTCACTGTTTTAAAATTTTATCTTTCTTTTTTCAGCTGAATTTATCATTGATTTAGCGGACAAAAATTCAGATTTAAAGTCATTCAAGGCAGCACTTGAAGAAAATGGAGCTGAATTTCAAGTAAGTATGAATATTACTCTATTAACATACCCCTCCCCTCAAACGTTGGGCTGTATTACATAGGTCAATTGTATACTCTCTTCATCAATGCAAGGATTTTCAATTCTCTATCATCTACCTAGGTCCGGCAATTTCATTTAGCTTGGAAAAATATTTGGAGAACAGTACAAAATTTAAAGAATTATTGTCTATAATTGAATTCTGAAAGTGTGATTAATCACTATCAAAAATGTTGAATTTGTGAATATTGTTCACAACTAACATGCGCTCACCATTTGTAGACCGCATGCAGCAGAATACATCTTCTCATCTTCGTCTCACTCATTTTCATCGTTTTCTTCTTTCCAAAGCTTCTTATGTTTGACGCAGTTTAATTTTGCTCATACATTTTTCTATTTTTCTGCTCAGTCGAGCCGTTAGATTTTCTTTTCTTCTTTAAGCCTGAATATTCATTATTGGATTTAGTATACTTTAATTGTCATTTCTTTACTGTTTTTGTAGGACTCTTTTGTGGAAAATTTGCTGCGGATTATCCACACCATGCGGCCGAAATCAGAGGAGAAATCGAAATCCATCCGAAATGATGATGCCCTCTCAAAAAAATTCCCCGGTTTGGCAATCAAAAATGATGTGAAGAGAAAAGATGTGAGTGAAATTGATGATGCAATGGCTGCTCTTGAAGCTTTGGCACCATCCTTTGGGTAGGTTTGGTTTCAATTGTTTTTAAAAGGCTCAAGCTCTCATTACAAATCGTATCGCTCATTTGATACTGATCAGCTAGGTACTAAGTTTATCCAATGCGTGTTTTCTGTTTAGAGTAAAAACTACTAGAAATTCCAGTATTAAACTATATTTTTGAAAATGGGATTTACTTATCCATCTATAGTTGCTTTCCGAAAACTCTTCATTCAAAAATGCTCAGGCTTGGTGCAATATTATCTCCGTCTTTTAAGTTTCCTTGTTTGGTCTCTTCAATTTAGCGTTAGGTCCTAAACTTTTTTTTATAAAATGTCTAAAATTCTCTTTGTAAATGATAAATGGCTTGTTTTGCCCAGGCTACAACACAAAGCTTCCTTTTTGGTTGAATCATTTGCAGTTTCATAGTAGAGAAGTATGTATAAGCGATCCTGTATGTAATTTTATAAGTGTGATCATAATTTTTTTCTCCAAGTCTAATTGCAACAGTATGACACTAACAGTAGAGGGTTTTTTTTTTTTTTTTTTTTTTTTACTACAGGAGTTTTTAAATTGGTATTTCATAGCTTTTAAATTATTGTTATCAATCATTATGTTTTGCTATTCTTGAAAATACTTATAATTCCTTCCTCTCTTTCAGAACCCAAACTGTGAAGGATGAAAAACCAGACAAGAAAAGAAGTGGTAGAAGCCGAAGTAGGGATCGTAAAGATAAAAGTAAAGATAAGAATCGACGAAGTAGGAGCAGAGACAGAAGTAGAAGGAGCACAAGTCGAGATCGTAGGGATAAAAGAAAAAGGAGTAGAAGCAGAAGTAGAGATCGTCATAGAGATAGGCGGCGGAGTAGAAGCCGTGATCGCACCAATAGACGAAGTAGGAGTCGTGACCGTAAAAACCGAAGAAGTAGAAGTAAAGAGCGCAGCAGAGATCATCGAGACAGAAGAAGAAGCAGAAGTAGAAGCAGAAGTAAGGATCGCAAGAGAGATGTCAGGGAAAAAAAGAGGAGTAGAAGCAAGAGCAAAGACCGTAAACATAGAGAACATTTCAGGAACGAAAGTCCAACTAGAGAAGTTAAACCTGTTACTCGTCTAGTTGAAAAAGAGGAGACAGCACTGCGGAATCCGGATAGGCCAACAACACTATTAGACTTGCAGAATAGCTATGAAGCTGAGGAAGATAACAGTCGTCAGCGTGTTGCTCGGATCTCATCCCCAGAAAAGTGGGAGTACAAACAGATGCTAGCAGCTGCATGTATTGATAAGAGTGAACTACCAGATTTTGATGAAGACACTGGTTTACTTCCAAAAGAAGCATCAGAAGATGAGGACATCGAGATCGAGATGGTGGAAGAGGAGCCTCCATTCCTGCAAGGCCATGGTCGCAACCTGCATGACTTGAGTCCTGTAAGGATTGTCAAAAACCCGGACGGGTCCCTTGCACAGGCTGCCATGATGCAGTCAGCATTATCAAAAGAGCGTCGTGAGCAGAAGATGCTTCAGCGTGAGCAAGAAACTAGTGCCCAACCAACCGGACAAAATAAAAATTGGATCGATCCTCTTCCTGAAACAGACAAAAATCCCAACACAAGCAGCATGCGTGGAATTGGGCTCAGTACACAAGACTTGCCAGAGTGGAAAAAACATATCATAGGTGGCAAAAAAAGCTCTTTTGGCATGAAAACCAACTTATCTCTCCTTGAACAGAGGCAAAGTCTACCCATCTACAAACTCAAAGATGAGTTGATTAAGGCTGTTAATGACAATCAGATTCTAATTGTTATTGGTGAAACAGGGTCTGGGAAGACAACCCAAATCACGCAGTACCTTGCTGAGGCTGGTTTTACTGCACGAGGGAAAATTGGATGTACTCAACCGAGAAGAGTTGCTGCTATGTCAGTTGCCAAACGAGTTGCTGAAGAGTTCGGTTGTCGGCTTGGGCAGGAAGTTGGTTACACGATTCGGTTTGAAGACTGCACAAGCCCTGAAACTGTCATTAAGTATATGACTGATGGTATGTTACTTCGAGAATGTCTAGTTGATTTAGACTTGAAAAGTTATTCAATAATCATGTTAGATGAAGCCCATGAGAGGACAATACACACTGATGTTCTTTTTGGACTCCTCAAACAAGCTGTGAAAAAACGCTCGGAGTTGAAGCTCATTGTTACATCCGCAACACTCGATGCAGTTAAGTTTTCATCGTACTTTTTTGAAGCCCCTATTTTCACTATTCCTGGGCGCACATTCCCAGTAGAAGTCCTGTACACCAAGGAACCAGAAACAGACTATCTAGATGCGTCATTAATAACAGTCATGCAAATACACTTACGAGAGCCACCGGGTGATATTCTCCTGTTTTTGACAGGACAAGAGGAAATTGACTCAGCTTGTGAAATACTTTATGAGCGAATGAAGTCATTGGGTCCTGATGTACCTGAGCTAATTATCTTACCTGTCTATTCTGCTCTTCCAAGTGAAATGCAGACAAGAATCTTTGAAGCAGCTCCACCAGGATCAAGGAAAGTTGTCATCGCAACCAATATTGCTGAAACCTCATTAACAATTGATGGAATATTTTATGTAGTAGATCCTGGCTTTGTCAAACAAAAGGTATGCAATTTTGATTTCCACGTATGTTACAAAGAAAACCACCTTAAGGGCCACTACTAAAAGACAAAATGCTTAACTTTGGATTTTGAACTCCTCCCCCTTGTAACAATTTTGTGAAGTAGATCCCTAACTTCCTGCGTTTTAACACTTTAAAATGAAATGACGTTCTTGAAATGCTCTCCTCATTACATATTCTAGAAATCGCCTCTTATGAAAACTCAAAACTAAGCTCAAAAGAGTGTTTTAGAAATATTTGTGGAGAGGACACTGCAAACATGTCAAACAAAACTGAAGCTAAATGGTTCAAAACTAGCTGTTTGAATAACTCAAGTTTTAAGTCTAATTTTCTTTAACCATTTTTTTAAAAGCATCTTTACACTCTTTGTTGGCACAAAACTGAACATTATCTCTAGCAACTTATTCTTCAGGATACACGTGAGTGGAAGTACATGGAGTACATGCTAACTTAAATGCTGATGTTTTGACCCAACTTAAGAAAATTTGCTTTCCTAAAAAAATGTCCTCTTTGAACTCACGTCCCTTTCCCTGTGAAGAGTCACGTTTATTTTCATATTACATCGATTTAAAACTAATTATTTTCAAAAATTATTAGTTGTTGTATTGTTAAATACCTTATGATTGAAAGAAGTCATATCAAATGGAGGAAGAGGATGAATCCAATTTTTTATTTTCTCAGAAAGTTTCAGTAGATGCTTTGAGTACTGATCAATTTTTTTTTCTTCTGTCAATAGGTATACAATTCAAAAACTGGAATGGACTCGTTAGTCGTAACTCCTATTTCTCAAGCCCAAGCAAAGCAGCGTGCTGGCCGTGCAGGACGAACTGGCCCTGGAAAGTGCTATCGTCTGTACACAGAGCGAGCATACCGTGATGAGATGCTCCCTACTCCTGTGCCAGAAATCCAGCGCACAAATCTTGCAACTACAGTCCTCCAGCTGAAAACAATGGGAATCAATGATCTGCTACACTTTGACTTCATGGATGCGCCACCAGTTGAAAGTTTGATCATGGCATTGGAACAGCTGCATTCATTGAGTGCATTAGATGATGAGGGATTGTTAACACGGCTTGGACGGCGTATGGCTGAGTTTCCATTGGAGCCCAATTTGTCCAAGATGCTAATCATGTCAGTTCATCTGCAGTGCTCAGATGAAATCCTCACGGTTGTCTCCATGTTATCTATTCAGAACGTATTTTACAGGTAGCCTCTTTTGCTCATTTCACATTTGAGTTTAATAACTATTCAATCCCTCTGAAAGACAGTAGTTCAAATTTTTGGTCTCATGTTCAATTTTCTTACTTCGGCTTTAGAGCTAGCCTTGTAAAATTCTAGTCAAGACTACATTTTTTTGTTTTATATATGTTTCCCCCTCATAATGATAATAATAAAAAAAGTGTTAATTTTTTAACAAACTTTTATCACATTATTTTGTTATGATTATATACTTAGTTTTCATTGACCCTCCATATATTTTGCCTAAAATTAGTTTCTGGGTAAGAATGTTCCTCCTTCATGATTCGTCAGTATATCTTCAAAACCGTTTGAGCGCTTTTCCCTAAACAGCTCTCAACCTTGCAGGTTCTAACTGACCTTCAAATTTATTTTGTATTTCTTCTTTTTCTTTCGTTTAATTTAATAATTAGTTAATAAATTATTAATTAATGAATTTTATTGAAACCAATGTCTCAAATTTCTCTCAAGAATAAAAAGAAAATCTTTTCTTATTCACGTTTTACTTTTTTTTTGACAGGCCTAAAGACAAGCAAGCTTTGGCTGACCAGAAAAAAGCTAAGTTCAATCAACAAGAGGGTGATCATTTAACTCTTTTATCAGTCTACAATTCATGGCGGAATAACAAATTTAGCAATGCATGGTGTTATGAAAACTTTGTGCAAATTCGGACTCTGAAGAGGGCACAAGATGTCCGCAAACAGTTGCTTGGAATCATGGACCGGTGAGTATTTATTTGAATGTCAAGTATTTCAAAATGAATAAAACTTGTAATTTGACCTCGGTGATTTTGAAGGAGGATTTAACCCCTTTAAATTTATACCTAATTGTCCAGGACCAAAAATTATCTAAGTTTTGTCCTTTTGCAACAGAGTAAATAGTGGTTTTCCATAGCCTTTTCAAGTGATATTTTTCCTTGTAATTTTTTTAAAGATCAGTTTATGTTCTCACAGCTACTCAATCTAATCATATTTCCACTTTGGATTTGTAGGGAGGCTTATCTCTAGAATCAAATGTATTCTGTCAGTCTTCATATCAACGCATCTCTATAAATACCACCATCAATGGTGCATAGCAATAAGTTAAAACAAGATGGTTTTTACTCTGATCTCTCATTATTGAATTTTAATTTTGTTAGACACAAGTTGGATGTTGTCTCAGCTGGGAAGAATACTGTCAGAGTCCAGAAAGCCGTGTGTTCTGGCTTTTACCGCAATGCAGCAAAAAAAGATCCGCAAGAAGGATACCGGACACTAGTTGACAGCCAAGTAGTCTACATCCACCCTAGCAGTGCTCTATTTAATCGGCAACCAGAATGGTGAGTTAATCAAGTAACTCATTCAATATTGAATCTTAGATGACTCTAAATCTCATTGCTTTAAAAATCGACTCAATGTTAGCAAAATTAAACTGCTTTTTAGAAGCAATTGGTTTGACGTAGACATGTGCAAAGAATGGCTGATGGTCAGTGCCTCAAAGGAGTGTTCGATTGGATTCTTTTCAGAAAGAAGCAGTATGGACATCCAGCACAAGATTGGCGGCAGGGAGTGGAGGAAGGGATCGGAAGGGTCTTTTGCCGGACGATGTTTGAGAGACAGATTTGAATGTAGATTGGGAGTCATAGAGTACCCTAGTGCGCTGAAATAGCTGCTTAAATATGTATATATAATGCACCTTTTTTGGGACTTCTTATATTACTTATCTTCGTATGAACTTCGTCAGCCTCTCTCGAAAAAAATCTGCTTCAATATCTGCTCTCAAAAATTTTTGTAAAAAATCTCAGTGTAGTATACTTTTACGCGGAAAGGGAGGGCATTAAAGAAATCTGGTACTATTGTGGATTGAGAACCTTTTCCAAAATCAGCCGTCTCCAGTCTCAACCTAATTTTTGAAATAATTGTAAGATTGGAAGAGAATTACTGAGTCCAAACCACCCATCATTTTTAAATTTGCAAATGAGTAGGGAGGGTGAGTCAAAGTTAAAAATTTAAAATGGTGTAGCTCATGAATGAATTGCCAGAGAACAAGAATCTCGGTTGTAAAATTTAGTAGAGGGAACGTGAGTATTTAGTTGATATTATTTGACAGATTAATTTTAAAATTTTGACTTGTTGCTGCGCTAAATTTTCAATTTTTTCCATTTTGGAGACAAGGCCACGTTCATATGTAGTGAGCAGATTTAATTTGATTTGATCAGACTAGATGTGAATTCTATTTTGCTCTGGTAATAGAACAAATGGAGTTGAATTGGCAATTTTATCCTGCAGGATCCTGCTCCTCCACTATTTTAAATTCTCAATTAGTCATCTTTGTCATCAAATCTCTTAGGTTCTTTGTTATTAATCATTTTTTTTTCTTTAATCAGGGTAATCTACCATGAGCTGGTTCAAACAACAAAGGAATACATGCGTGAAGTTACGACTATTGATCCAAAGTGGCTGGTGGAATTTGCGCCAGCATTCTTCAGGTTTTCTGACCCAACTAAACTTAGCAAGTTCAAAAAGAATCAACGTTTGGAGCCTTTATACAACAAGTATGAGGAACCTAATGCATGGAGGATATCCAGAGTTCGCAGGCGTCGTAATTAATCACCAGAGAGGCTCAAAAATGACTCTAACCTGCTTTTATTCAGTTGCTTTTATCTTGGCGTAGCACCTTTCAGCATGAGAGTAATAATATACTGAAGACCTAGAAGATAAACTGTTTTAAAAAAAATCATTGCTAATTTACTTTTTTACAACGACAAGCAGTCTTGACGGTGGTCTGGATTACAGTCTCTATTTGTGATTATATTGAGCTACGCATTGCTCAAACTTACTTCTTTTTTTGTCCAAGGTGAAACACTAATTTCTGATGAAGCATCAAATTTTTTCCTGTGGAAAGTAAAGTACATACTTTTTTGTTTGCCCGTTACAATTTTTCCTTGTAAAAAGTGCTAAATAGTGTAAAACGATGTAAATCTGTTAATAAATCTTTAAAATTGAATCCATATTTTATCTCTTCCATCTAATGGATCAGTTTTTTATCTGAAATTGAGAAAAAAAATCAGCAACAATAAGTAATTCATCAGTGTATCAACTTGACCTAAATTATGTCCCTCCAAAAATAAATAGACTCAAGGGACATTCAAGCCCTTAAGTATAGAATTGTGCCAGCAGATACCCATCTCCATCCACGCCTGCAGGTAGCTACTACTTTCTGATAGTTTTAAAATATTTGATTAAAAATTTCAAGTCATATTCATTTGCATTATCAATGACGCCAAGAGCTTTTAAAATAAACCTTTTTTATTGTTTTACAAAAGCGCCAGCAAACTTAATTTAAATGTCTTTCTGGAATTCGTTATTTATCGTATCCTAATTATGAAATACTCTTAAAGAGTCAATTTTATTAATTTTTGAGTATTCATGAAGCTAAATGAGGAGAATCATCCCCTCCAAAAACTTCCGTAATTAACTCTTTTTGTTAAAAATTTGGGTAGTAAAGTTTTCTTAAATCTTCCTCCGAAAAATAAAATGAGAGCAGAAATGTTGAAGTCTGTTAGGTGGATTCGTAATTTCTAATGAGTAGACAATATAACATTATTTTCTGGATTTCATTGAAACTTATTACTTAACGCTGCGAAAATATGTATAAACGTTGAAACTGAAAAAATGCGTATCTCAGTTGAAGTGTTTCAAAATCTCCTATTTCATTTTGTAAAAGAAGACCAAAACAACATCATGACTCAAACTTGCACAGAATATTCCTTACACACAATGAAGAAAAGCCACAAAAGTTTTCAAGAAACGACGTTTTAGTTTTCCATGTAAAACATAAATCGAGAAAGGAAGTCTGCACTGCTGCAAACTGAGATGCGCATGGTGCAGTTTCATCATTGGTTATTACAAACGTTGACGGAATAAAAGAAGGATGAAAGAGCACTTAACATTTTCTTGCCAATATGTTACTTGATTGAGAGTGAAGAAAAAGAATAGGAATTGATTGAAAATTTAATTTTATTCTATATGCAATCAATTCATTTGTTAAAATGGTGGTTTTTCTTTTTTTTAAAAAAACTGGTTAAGCATAAAAAATAGCACAAAGAAACATTACATAAATAAAAAAATAATGCACTTAAACCATTAAATACACAGCACTACAAAAAATTTGGTAAAATAGAAACTGAGATAAAAAATTATAAAATTATCATTCAAAAAGAGTAAAAAAAGATAGGGATTTATTATATGAAAATATATGAGGAGAGGAATAAAATAGGCATCTGACTGCCAGTCTAAACTTGCAATGAAATGATGTACATTCACAAGAAACGGAATGAGTCATAAAATTTATCATTACACCATTGAACAATACATAGTGAAGATTTTTTGGCACCCGTTTTATGAAATTTTAACTTCTACAAGGGGTAAATGTAACATATTGTTGCCCAAGACCAAGAATGATTTGCAGCCTTTCCCCTTCTTCTGGAGAATTCTCTAGCATTCGCTTTTTTTCCTCAACCAACAGATGTGAAAATTTGGTAAATTGTGTATTTTCCCTTAAAAATGTCCTATTTTTTCCACGGTTCATCAATTTTTTTAGATGAACTGCTCCTCTCTTGCAGTTTACTGCCATGAGTAAAAAGGACACACTTTTCAGCACTTTATTTGCTAAAACGAGTTTTGCACTTAAGCTAAAACTTTCAGTGGAAGATTGTCTAATCATAAGGTTTCGTTTTGGCCCATTTGAACAAAATCCCGCGGTCCCCCCAAAAAGGGCACAAAAAGGCCCTTTTTTCGACTGACTCTTCCCAGCTTGAAAAATGATTGATTTTCTTTTTGGAAGCATAAATACAAACAGAACCTAAAAAATAAGTTTAAAACATTAAAAAACAACTGATCAATGAATGTACCGAATTACCTATTTCGGCAAAAAGCGTTACATATCGCAGAAATGAAGCTTGCAGTCTAGACATCTATAATGTTTTTAGTTGGGACACAAAAAGAATTAGTAATACAGAAAAACTGGTGTTTTTTACATCAGAAAGTAATCATATTAGCATGTTATATAAAGTTTTTTAATAAATTTGCTTGAATATGTTATTACTAGGTTGATAAGAACAACAATGAAACGTTTGAGCACTGAAATTTTTATAAAGTTAAATATTATGGCAAAACAAAAGCTTCTCATATTATTGCCTCTGTGACTAGAATCTGATTTTATGATTATGAAGAGAAGTATTTTATGGGATTTATGTTGGCGATATGACTTAACATTTACAGCAAGCTTCAGTTAATGTTTAAATGTGTGGAACACTTTTAAAATCTCCCTTTTGGAATGTGATTTGATTAAAATTATTTCTAAAGGAAACATGAAGAGAGCAATGGATTAAAAAATATTAGTTTTGCTTACCAATTACAGAGATTTTTTAGTTTTCATATTATGTAAAATTTGTCTGATTTACATGGAAATCAGTGGTAGTAAACAAGCAGCGTCAATCTTCATTATTCTTTAATGGGAGTTTATTCTTTTGACCCTCCACTTTTTCAAACAACTCAATTTTGAAAGGAGTATTTACTGCGTCCTTTGCCACAGGATTCGGTGAATGACTCTCATGTATACTAGGTTTCATCAGCTCTTCAACAGATGATCCGAGGTTTAAGACACAACTTTTTGAATGGAAGGGAGAGAGAATGTAAGAAGTGAATGGAAATGAGCATTTTAAAATTTTTTTGTCATGATAACATACAAGTGAGCCCTTAGCTGCCCACTTGCTTTTAAGTATCGACTGAATAAATAAATAAGTTTTCTAGAATTTAAACCTTAAACTAAGGAAAAGCTCAGAAACCATCCTACTCTTCAATGAGGTAAATTTCGATCCATGTTGGCGATGCTCCTTGAGATTCCACGGTGGGAATCAGAAAGATTTTCGTGAACTTTGAACGGCATTGGATTCCAAAGTGCTGGATGAAATGAACTGATCTTGGCATTACTGCTCTTAACGATGCTGTTACAATCGAACTTTCAACTGAGACATCCTCTGCTTCATGCGCCGTTTCATTTCTGCAAATCTGAAATAAAAATCAAAATAAGTTTCCTTGAAAAATTGCCTAAGAAGAAATTAGAAAATGAAACAAAGTCATAAACTGTAAAACATGCCAGTAACTGGCTCCTTACATAATATGCAAACATGCTTAATTATAGCTTCTTTTTTTTCCCAAGATAGATACAGGATTTTTAGGGTTTATTTTTTGAACACTCATTAGCTGCCACGCTAGGGAAACGCTTTCTATGAACCTTCAGGCGTTGCCAAATTTCCTTCAATAAAATACCTATTTAATGGAAAATTAAATCTTCTTCCAATTTTTTAGACAATTTTGTTCTTGATTCAATCTACAGTATCTGAAAGTTTAAAAAAAAAAGGCATAATTTTCCTCGAAAAGACACATTTTATTCAGAGAAAATTGGCAACTCTCAAATGGTCATAAAGCTTCTCCTTTACCTCCGCGATAGACATGCTTCCATGATACTCAAAAAAATAAAAGTCATGACACAGGGTGGGTTTGGTAAAAAAGCTAGGTCTTCTTCAGTGGGGATTAGATTCAGTAAACTGGTAGAAGAAAATATGTCATACATATCCTTATGTACGTACTTGGCTTCAATTTTAGCAATTTCCCTTTTTTCCTCTGCATAATATCTTGCAAGAATTGCTGTGCATTCAACAGAACTTAAATTTAAGAACTGAGCAACATCGCAACTTATTTCATCAGTGGTATGTGCGTCCATCAGGTATAACTTTGCTACCTCTTCATGAGGGCCTAGCATTACACGAACCAGTAAAGGGTATTCATCATCTTTCAGCCTTCTTTGTTCTGCGGAAAGAAACAAAATGCATGAAATTTAAACCCAAAGAAAATGTCTCTCTTTAGACTGCTCTTCAACAGATGTATTGGACGATCAGAAGAGAGAAGAAATTTACTTTCGTAAAATCAGGAGAGAATATTTTTGGTGAAAAATTTGATTTACATTCAAATCATTTAGCATTAGTAACAAATTTGAAATGGCTATGGTAGCCATTCATATAATGGTAACTCCACAGAGGTTTACAAAGAGGTTATGCCTGATCGAGTCCCGTCTATTGCGTAGCTAATTTTACAGTTGTTTACAGTGAAAAATTTTTTTCAATGTGCTGAAAATCTCATGAAAGATTTTTAAGTTCGAACATTAAACGAGGGTTGACTTTTGGTAAGACCAAACTCTAATGATTTGTTGAACATAGAAGTAAGTCCATTTTCCATGGTTAATTTACTTTACATCATTTATTGTTCTTTCTCAGGCAAGAGCATTGACATGACAAATTTTTTCATTTTAAATCTTTTCTTTTTAAATTTTCTATTTGGAAACAAATCGGGAGACACGTTGTGAAATAGTTTCATTTAGCTCCTCTAAGCAGAGCCATTATATATTTCTTCAAGCCATTAGACTAATAGACAAGGGAAAAATTTAAGCATTAAGACGTATGTTTTCGTTTTTCATCAAAATTTCACATAGACTACGATTCGTTCAAAGAATATTATTGAAAAAGACTCCTTACTAAGATATTAATATTTTCCAATGCATGCTTTCTGATTTCCTGCTCATAAAAAAAACCATAATCTTCTTGAATTGGATTGCACATGAAACCTTACCATATCGGTCTCCTCTAGGTGAAATTATGGGAGCCTCAATCTCTGCACTTTCACTCAACTGTTGCTTATTGTTTACACTTAAGACAATTACTACATAAGCTACATTAGACACATTAAAAAACTCCATTCTGTACAAACAGGGGCCCTAATGGCTTGAATTTTTGATTATGTAGTATTTCAAAAACATTTCTGGAAACCCCGAAACATAATGCTACAGAATACTGGAAAGCGTCAACACCAACATACCTCCATTGTCTCGGACTACAAATAAAGCAAAGTTATGTGGCTTGCTGTCAACTTTATACTTGTCTAACATCAAATTGATGACTTCTTGGGTTGAGACGAGTGATGTAACCCACACAGACATCTGACTACCAAAAGGAGGTGTGAAAAAACTAGTTTCACGGTTATAAAAATGGCCATTGATTGAACACCTGCGTTTCAGTTTTGCACGGAACCCAGCCCGTCTACGACCAGGTCTCCTACGAATTGCTGTAGAACCTGCTGAAAAAAGGCAAAATTTACAGTGAGACAGATAAATGACCACCAAGAAGACTGTAAAAGCTGATTTTAGCAAAAATCAGTAAATTTTTAGTACAGAATTGCAGTATGAATGGTAAAGCCATCATGACTGAAGTGTCTCACATACAGCCTATTGAGCCTTTTTGTATGAGGTTTAAAAGAAGACATAAAGCGAGGACTCATCCACACAAATCGATGCACTAGTAAAAGATTGAGTATCAGTGGTTATGTGAACCCAAGCAAGTATGTATTCGTTATGAGTAACCGCTCAGTAAGGGGGCTTTATTCAATAGTATAAAAAGAGAAGGTTAATTTTAGCCCACAGTGATGACAATCCTTTCTTTGTGCTCAGCCCTATTGCGGCATTAAAAGTTCTTTTTAATTTCATTACTTTCCGCTAATTTATGAGCTTGAACCATGAAACTACAATTCTATGACTAGCACAACTGACCAAATGGTGAAGAGTGAAATTCAAGCGCTTTCCAGGTCTTGAAGAAAAATTTCTGAATCAAGGATGTTTCAAGGCTACATAAACTATGAAAAAAAAAAAAATTAGAGATAGATGGGTAGAAGATTCTGAACCATTGCTGGGCATTAAGTGGAAAAAAATCCAATACATCATCATAAAAAATTCGGATAAAAAAATTACATTCACCTCGTATTGGACGAACAGAGTGAACCTCTTGATTTGATTCATTCATGTCTTCTTCATCACTTGAGTCTGTGAGGGTATTAAAATTTTCCTGAGAGACTGGTGTTTCATTCGAATCTAATGCTGTATCTCCAATGTCGTCTTCAAAATTCTTTGAATACCTGTCGCTGCTCTTGTGTTCATCAGACAATGGTGTAGTTTCAGATGATTTGTTCAGATCATCTGTTCCATTACCATTAGTGTTGCTCTCTCCCTGTTTCAAACTGCTAATCTTACTTGGTAAAGGTGAAGGCATTGTTTGGTATAGTTTATCACCATCTTCCGTCTGCCGTTCCACCTGAGATTATATGAAAAAAGATCATAGAATGGTAAAAAATGTTAACGAGAACTTAGACAGTGACTTAAATAACTGCATATCATTCTATAGACCAAAACCATTTTTTGTTAATTCTCATTTCTGTGATTTGAGATTCTGACCAAATCTGTCAGTGCAATATTTGTCTGCTTGAGAGAGTGTTGGACTTTCGCTGACTTAGGAAGTCTTTTGCTCCGAATAATATTTGATAAAATAATAAATAAATAATTGTAGGCATCCTTTTTTTTAATGCACTTTTAGAGAATGAATTAAAAACAAACTGTTCAACAGCACCATTTTGAGTTTACAGCATTAAGGTTTTTTCTCCTTTTAACAGTCACTGAGTAGGTAGAGGAGCAATTCTAAAGATTCAACTGAGGGAGATCAAGTCTCTTCATCAAGAAGAGCGGAACTGCACAAGAAAAAATTTGAAGAAACATACCTGCAAAAGTTCATCAAGTTCATCCCAGTTAATCTGTTTGATATCCAGCTTTGATGGCAATGTGACAGATTTACATTCACTATCAGCAGACTTGTCAACTGAGTTGTCAACTGAGTTATCAACTGCATTATTCACAGCTTCGTCCACTACATCAGTGGCAGCATGATTGACTGTTGAAGAATTTTCTTCTGGAGCTTGTGGCTCAGCATGATTTGAATTTTTAGAGACTTCCTGATCAAAGAAATGAGAAAATCATTGTTGATAGACGCCAAAAAAATGAGGGATTAAAAAATAATAAAGCAGCTAGAAAACTGCATCCTGCAATCTTTTGAAATATATTTGAATATTAATTTAATTTGTATATTTTGGTTTTATATGAATTTTCTTCCCACCTTCTACATTTGGACGTATTTCTGTCAAACGGAACTATGTGCATTAAGACATGAACCCTGAGACCCATAAGAATATATGCATAACAGGGCTCACGTCATAATGCACATAGTTCCGTTTGACAGAGATAAGTCCATTTGTATTGTGATACAGAGAAAAATTTGAAAAAATTGTTGCAAGCGTGATGAGCCTACGTTTTTGCAAAAAAAGTGAAGAACCTCTTGGGAGGGATCATGGATGAATATCTGAAACTGCACTAATTCAAATTTTAGATTTTAACCACCAAAATTGCACATTTAAAGTATATTCAATGATAAATCTCCACTTTCTGTCCATCTTTGCTCTAATTTTCAAATTACACTGATTCCTACCTTGGTCAGCTGCGTGCTCATTTTCTCGTTTTAATTTTTTTACCTATAGTTTTTGTTCAAGTTGAGAAAGGACATGTAATTTGCGAATCGTCTTGGTTGAGATTAGTTTGCCATTAAGCCGTACACACCTATGATTTGCTATATTTTTATTGAATTTTATATTAGAATATACATTTGTTAATCTTTAACCTTTTTACCTTCCTGCAAGAATTTCTAGAAATGAAAGTTTGTTAGAGAAGCAAATCCTAGGATCCCAAAAGATTAAAACAAAAATTCTTTCTGCACCCCTGATTCAGGTACTATCATTACTTGAGGATAAGGGGAATTTTTGGACAGGTTGCATGCGAATACATATAATTATTATGAACGAGAAAAAATCACTAATACTGTGGCCTGAACTTTAATTAACAAGGTGTTCAAATGGTGTGGAATCAGCACTATTTTAACACCTTGTTTAATTATTTTAAGGACTATTAATCTCTAAGGTATAAAAGAGGAAATCATCGAATAAATAAAGAAAATCCGTGTGTCTGATATCATTACACAAAAACGTTTGGAGGCTAGGGTCTCCTCTGAGATGGTCTCAGAATGGTCATTCTGAACAAATTCATTAGAAAAAGAGAGAAGTTTGCAGAAATGCCCGAGGGAAAATGGGAAAACGTCTCAAAATTGCAGGTTTCTTTAAAGTTCACGCACCGAATTTACATCATAACCATTATAGATCCCACTGCGTACTGAGTTCCTTTTTCTTATGGTAACAACTGTTCGCTGATCATCATCTTCTTTCAGGTGGATCATGCTAACGACTCCCCAGTAAATGCGTAATGTCCCCTCTAAAACCAGCCTGCCATTAACCTGAAAAATCAAAAATCAATAATGTTATTATTTCAAGCAATCAGAACACAGAAATGTTATCATGATTTAAAGACTACCTGTGTAGTAAATATGGTAATTGTGCTGAAAGATTCAGTTGGCTACTCAGAGGAGACTACTGGGTTTCCACACTCATAAATAGTGAAAAGGAACTATTTGCACCTTGACTATATATATGGACATTGCTCAGTAAAGAAGGAGATCCTGAATTTTAATAGGAAAAAATTAGGCAAGAAGAAATTTTCTTGAAAATATTTTGGAAGATTAATAATCAACTTAATCGGGTTGACGTTAGTTATTTTGACAAATTTTAGTACCAGTTGAATTCGAAATAGTCATTTAAACTTAAACCTGGGATTGCGGAGATTTTGATGGGTTTAGAATGAAACTTATGCAATTACTTGAAAAAGGCTGATAAGCCAGTTAAACAAAGGTAAAATTCAAAGAGAGATGATGCCATCAAATCTTTGACAACAATTTATTCCATGTGCTCTTCAAGCACTGCGAGCACTGATTATTATATGAGGTTGATTTTCAATAATGTCTTTTAATTGAGTGATATGCTTGATTAACTAATCTGCATTTTATACTTTTCCCAGTTTCATTAAATGTTGCAAATCTGTTTCAGATGCAACTCTGATAAAAATTTTTCCCAAAAGTTGTTCAGAAATGTTTAAATACATATTGAAAAAAAAGTTAAAAATTCAATGATGACCCATATCATTAAACAACATTCGGTAGAGAAATCACCAAGACCAAGATTATCTGTGCATTTATCATTAGTAGGATGCTGATTGTACATTCTGCAGTGTCATAAAATAAGATCCGGTCACAGCTTGATAGCTTGGTTTCATCCCTTTTCTCAGATTTTTCTGTGCTAAGTACATGTCAGAACCGTTTTTAATTGATTCTTGTCATACATTTTTTGCCTGATCCAATTTTGATAGAAAATGAATTCTTTAGAGAACAGAAATAAAACAGCACTCACCTCCCTGCTCCTAATTTCTCCGCTTCTTCCATCATAATATTGATTGAAAAGTTTTAGTTTTGTTTCCAAATGCGCCCTAGAATGAGAGAAATGTGAAGTTGAATAGCATTCCAGGAATGATGTAAACACAACACAGAACATTAATTGAACCATATTTTGCAATAAGGAACTACTACTTCTCGTCTATTGTAGAAACGACACATGTGCCGGTAGTTTCCCAGTGCAGATGGGTGTTTTTACAGATGAGCCAGTAATAGCAGGTCTTTATTGCAAAATGTAATAAAATTGTGGCTACCTTGTACAAAACTTGATGTACTGCTTAATGACATGAAGTTTACAGGAAAAAATCTTGTTCAGGATAAGGTGGCAATTGTGTTCGAAATTTTCAGGTGCAGTTGTCTCATTACCTTCCTATGAAATATAAATATCACAAAAAATTTTCAAAAAAAAAAAACAAAAAAAAAAAAAAAAAAAAAAAAAAAAAAAAAAAAAAAAACAAAAAAAATAGGAATTTTGTATGAGCCTCTTGTGGGTTCTAAGAGGTGCAAACATAAAATAATGTCTAATTGCAAAAACATAGTTATTTTCACATTAAAAGCTATGAGACTTTATGGAGGAGAGAATTTTGTTTTTCCGATCTTTAGCAGATGGGCTGAATATTCATCATTTAGAGCATGAAAACTACTGTTGGTGCACCATTGAGGGTCCAAGGCAACATACAAAGTTGAAGCCCTTGTTGTTGTTGGCATAGAGCTGGTAATGGTCAAGCTCTGATGAATATTAAAGAAATGAAAGTCTTAGGACAAAATTTTTGGTTGTTTTGCCCTGGGTTCAGAAAATCACCATTTCAAGAAAGGAATTTTGCAGTTTTTTAATGAAATTGTTATTAATGCGATTCCTTTGGCAGCCATTTTACATTGCATTGATGTTGGTTGAAACTATGGGTCATCACCTGCAATGATGGAAAGAAAGAGAAAAATAGTGTGCCCGTTTCAAACATGCTAAGCACTTTTCCACTGACTCAGATGTCATAAGTTTTATGCTGAAGGAAACCATTACTTCTACTGCTACAACTTTTATGAGTCACGAATACTGGTTCAAGCTTTCATAGCTTGAGCTATCATAGCTAAGCTTTCAAGCTTCAAGCTTGCATTTCTGGAAAGAGTTTACTTGAGAGACACCTGTTTACAAGGCCATTCTTGGATCATGCGACAGCTCTGTTATTAGCTTTGAACACAAAAATTCACGAAAGAGAAATGTCTACCTTGGCATATTTGGTGTGGCAGCTTTATTTTCAACTTTTCCGAAGCTAGTATGCGACTCAACTCTGGTTCCATGACCGAACAACTGAGGCCCAAATAAGGCTCCATAGCATGGCACATGACAGTATGGCACTCCTTTATGCTGAAAAAAAAACCACACGGTTAAAAAGGCAGGTTCTGAAAATATCCTTACAGAAACCTGAGCAGCAAGGGATGACGGGTACTCAAGATCAGAACACTCAATTAGTTGAAACTTAGGAATAATTTAATGCCCTTAAATCTATCCTCTGAAATCAATTTTTTAACAGATAAGAATGAATTGATGGACTTTTATTTACATTCAAAATTCAGGTTTTGCTTATTTTCAATCAAATTAAATCAGCTGTTATGCAAAAAAAACAAAGTTTTTGAGCAATTTTGAACAATCCAAATTATAATTGGATGTATTTCTGTGAAACAGAACTAAGCGCCAAATTGAGTTCCTTTTGAGGAATTTAGAATCCCGTATAGCGCGTTCTGTCAAACGGAACTAAGCGCCATGGAAAAGCATTGCGAGTATAGGACGGAACGAGCAGGACACCCGTTTCCGCCGCCAATCCAAGCCCCCCTCTACCTTCCTCCCCCTATGGCGCTTAGTTCCGTTTGATAGAAATACGTCCAATTTTAGAGCTAGAAGTTAGATCTTTGAAACAGGGCATAATGACTTGAAAAAAAGATTCGCCTGGAAGTTGGAACTTCTCAAACTGGGTATGTCAAGTTTCATGAATAGACTGTGATGTTCTTCTAATTTGCTCTGGGTTCAGTGTAATTATTCTGATAGAGGCAACTGATGCAATATTTCAGCCATTTTGCTGAGCCTGTCACACTTGAAAACTCATTTCAACTGAATTTTTTCCGTTGTAGAAAAGAATTGAACTTAACTGTAGGGATGAGGGACAATAGCTTAATTTAAAGGAAATCATGTGACACTGTTGCCAGATAGTTCTGAAAAATTAGCAACTTCCCACATTTGAACCCATGTTGAATATTTACGTTTTATTACAAAACCTGACTGCTTTGTCATGTGGTATGACACCCCTGCCTGCAATCCCTTGAGCTCTGACTCCTTCTGTACGACAAAAAATAGATGGAAAATTTACCTCAGCATGCTGTCCTGGGTTTAAACGCTTCCCACATTCCTCACATCTAAGACATTCTGGATGCCAGTTGTATCCAAGTGATTGTTTCCTTTCCGCTGCAAAAAATAAGGAAAAATTACCCATGATTTTAAAAAGAATGTCGTAAAAGTTTTACATAAAGATGATTTACAAGTACTCGAGAGACAACAACTGAAATCAAAATTGAACAGTAATTTGTTGAATGATAGGGGTGCTCAAAATTTAAATATACTTACTTAATCTGGTACATGAGCTACATAGCAAAGCAACAGTGAAGCAATCCTCTGGAGGGTTGCAGAAATATCGATGGCGAAACTACCAGACAACGTATCTCGTTTAAAGTGTTTAAAATTCTCCGTTCCCCGCTTATTTTTGTTAAGGAAAACAAACCAATGTGTTTCCTTGTAATTTTTGCAGATTCTTCTTTCTACAGAGAGGAAAAATCAAGAAAGTTTTCAAGAATGGGTGTTCAGTAGTTTTCCATCTGAAAAATAATAGATGAAAGGATGTCTGCGACATCATAAACCGAGATACGTGTTCTGATAATTTCACCCTCGATATATGACCTAAGTGAAAACAACTGTCAGGTAAAACTTCGGCAAATATTCATAATTATGATACTTGAGTGACTATACATAGGTACTGGAGCATCTAATATGTAGCAAAAGGTAACTGAATAGTACCATCTGATAGTATTAAAAAATGAAAATGAGAGTTTGATTTCCCGACATGGTGTTCATTGATTAAATAGAGTAATTATCATATCCACAAACCTTGGACTAAAACCCTTGGTCAGCAGTACCTAATGTTTTCGAGTGGCATTTAATTTTAAAATGACTTTCGGATAATTTACCTTTGAACAAACTGAAATTTATTTTACTGCACAGGATTTAAGCTACCTCACGAATAAAATTTGAAGATGGGAAGGAATCTAAACTGTGTTAAATTAATTTTTCCATGAAAATGATGTAGTAATTCCACTATAAGCTTTGGAATGTTCGCAGGAAATTAGTGCTTACCCAGATTCCCTTCCTTTCATGATACATGGCACTTGATGAACCATAGCCAGCAACCATTAGCTCAACACCAAAATTAAAAAGTGGCTTCATGAGGTAGATCATAAACAAATAACCTGTCCTTGGACTTCGATCAAATTCGCAGAAAATTGAGAAGTAAAGTAAAAAAAACCGGTAACCTTCACTTCACGAAGATGAATTTTGAGTTCCACTTTTGATGAAGAGACCCTACCTCGCAGGATGAGATAACAGTTGATTCTTCAGGAATGAGAAGAGGTACAAAAATTCAGACAAGGAAATAATATTCTTACCAAAATACACTGGTTTCCCACATTTATGACATTTCCACATGATTTTGACAGGAGACAAGGAACATTTCCACTTTTTGTTTACAAATTGGTATGAAATGATGGTTGGTTATATTGTGGTTGTAATTGTTGTAGCGCAACCGGTTTAATGTTTGTACCATCATGATAACTTCAAAGTACCCAATTATCATCTCTGAATGTCTCAGAAAATATTGAAATTAATACTTTTTTCATCCCTTCAAAGACATATCCGTTTAATTATTAGATTTTTTCTAACTTCTTATGAATTATTCATAAAAGTTTCTGATCTTGCTTTAAAAGACGCAAATAATTAAGTCACGTATCCCGGCAGAGCACTAGAGCACTTCACTTACAGTTGGCAGTAATGGCTTTTTTCCTTATCTAAATTTTTTAGGTTAGAATTTGGAAAATTGTTCGACTTCGACCAAAGACATAAAGACGGAGTGCTCGTATCTAAAAGCACGGGGAAAAAGTGAAGCTAGGTTCGGCGCTGCGCGCTTGTGTGAGTGTGTAAATGAGCGCGGGAATCCATGGCGGCAAACGGAAATTTGATTTGAACTTGTCCTCTTGATTTTTCCTTATTTCTTCTTCGAAACGTGTTTTAAATGCTTAAAACGATTATATTAAGAAAGTTCGGTCTGCGTCCTAATATATTACACCTACTTTTGCTCGGTAACAGGCAGTAATCTCAGATAAAGTTAGTTTTTCTTCTGCTTATGGTGGTTCTGCAGGTTCAAACAGGCCGTTACAGTTCTAGATCTACGTTACTCCCAAATGAAATCAGTCGGTCGACGACGGACCGAAACTAACCTAAAGTTAATAAAATATGAGTGTGTACCTGAATTTGGGCAAAAATCAACCTAAAATACTTTGTTTCCGCAATTTTATTTATTAGTTCCCGCCCTACATTTGAATTCAAACTTGTCCCGATTTCGCCGCCAATCCTCTAGCCAATAGTAGAGGTGATTGAAAAGAAGCTCTAGAAGCTTCATTTTTTGCTTTTAGTGCTCCGTCTTTATGTCTTTGACTTCGACGGACGGCGACGGTGTTCTTGCTGCCTGCTTATCCGCCGCGTGTGTGCATTTAATTATTTTTGTCCTGTAAATCTTGAGATTTCAGTTTTGAAGTGTAGCAAAAACGTCAACTCTCAATCTAAAACACTTCAACTCTAAAATGTGATGTTCTTCTCCGCTTGTTTTACGTTCATCGGCTGATCCGCCGTGTGGTCTAAGACAACAGTAGGTTGCTGTTTTTACAAAACTTGCCATAGTTTTTAGTGTTATTAAATCTCTCAATTCGTGCTGAAACGTTCAATTATTTCTGTCAATTATTTTATGTCTTCTTGACCCCATTTCTGACGAAATTATCAACTAAGTTCATCCTGTCAACTGTAGTAAACAATGGGTGACCCTTGCATGTCACTGGTTACGAACTTTATTAATGCTAATAATGATGGGCCTCTCGTTGCAAAGAGTCAGGAAATGAAACTGATGTTAATGCGTTGTAATCATTTCAACTTAAGTGATGGCAGTCATGATCCAATACTGTAAAGCCATCTGATGAGATAGCTTAATCTTATCAATTCGCCCAAGTATGATATTCTCCGCCCAAACAATTCAGTCTTGATTAGTATATGGGGAAGAATCTTGATTTGTCCAAATTGTAATGTGTGTAATTGTTGGAATTTTACAAAGCCACATGACAGTTGACCAGGCAAAAGTTGGATCAGATGCACTTACATATTCCACTTGTGGGACTCTACTCTTAGTTGTTTACTGTTTATGATAACTGAATCCATTAAGTAATAATAATAGCAAATGATGTTACTATTGGTAAGCCATTTAAAGGAAGTTAACAGAAAATTCTTGGGTATCATATGGATCTGACATAAGTACAGGCAAATAGATACCCTCCTATTCGCATGATAACATTTCAGAGGCCACCAATGTAGGATTCTTTCTCTCAAAAGACACCCCAAGTTGTGGTTTCAGCCCATGAGAAAATTTTTCTTTTCATTTTTATGCGTAGACACTATTTACTATTTTATCAATAAATATTAATCCCTCTCTGTATTTCTTTATAAGCGCAGGTATGTACATGTTCATTTACATACATAATAAAAAAAAACATTCAAATTGACAATTAAACACAAATTTAGCCGGTTTACACTTCATTCTGATACGTTTCTCCAGTCCAGACGTTTGCTTAATGATGTGGGAAGGCCTTATGTACTTACTAGGAAAAGGAGACAAATTTTTTTCACTTAAGAGTTATAAGTTTTGCGTGATTTTGTTTTGATCTGTGTAGAGATCAATGATATTTGCGGTCAATAAGAGCACCCTAAGCAGCTCAATTTTCTAAGTATTCATTTCACCATAGAAGCAAATAAAATAAAGCAAAGAGGTAATTATTTTTTATATTGGAGGGAATTTTGTGGAAAGCCTTCAAGACAAACATAGAAAGCCACAGGGTGAGCTTGTGAATTTTCTGCACGCCTGACTGGTAGTTCTCGTAATTTTCTTTTTTAATTTTTTTTTTTTTTTTTTTTTGCAGGAAAGATTGATACCATCAAGTTGAGTAATGTAATTGAAACCCATAGAAGGAGGAATCGACAACAATTATGGAGCTTGTAAAAGAAAATATAAATTTTGCCAATGTGTGTGGAGACTCTTTGAAAGGATTTCTCGACCGTGACGATGATACCGATCTGATTTTGAAGGACCATGCGTGGAAAAAAAATAATGTAAGTAGTGATGAATTTGCCTATGATCTCGGGCCACTCATCAAAGAGGAACCATTAGGTATTTGGGATAGTGACAGTATTGATATGGAGACTCTTGAGGAAGAATCAGAACGAGACTCTTTAAGAATGAATGACTTTGATTTTAATAATGGCTTTGCGGATTGGGTGGGGAGTTCAGTCGATGACAATTGTAGCAATGAGCAGGAACCATTTCTGCTTGATGCGATGCCATCCGAATATGTCAAGTTGGAGCCCAGCTTTAACATGGAAGAAGAAACAAATTCCCAATGTGGGGACTTGTTACAAGATTCTGAGTGGGTAGATAGTTATAAGGAGAGCGCAGAAGATATCTCAAATGAAAGTGAAGATCAGACTGAAGCTAATAATGTCTCTTTATCATGTCAAATTTGCAAAAAAACCTTTCATGAACGTATGTTCCTCTATAATCACTTGAAAGAATTCCATCATTGTAATATTATTTTTGAGTGTGACACCTGCCGAAAGATCTTTTTGAGCAAATCTAGTTTAATTGCTCATTTGCATACTCACTCGCAGAGAAAAGCTGCAGAGAAAAAATCCAGTTTGTCAGATGCTTCTGTTGAGTCTGATGGTGAAGAGTCGGATGATTCTCCTCAGTCTACTGTCTCCTGCGAAATTTGTGGCAAGCATTTTATCGAGAAAATATTCCTTTATAATCACTTAAAAGCGTATCATAGTTGCAATGTCATATTCGAATGCGACACTTGTCATAAAATTTTTCTCAATGACAAAAGCCTCCTTGCACATTTGGAAACTCACACGAAAAAAAATAAACGTAGCAAGCTACTTCAGTGTGACATCTGCTCCAAAAAGTTCTCCTGGCAGTTGAGCCTAGACCAGCATAGGCTCAAGCATTATTTCGAGCGGAATTATGTTTGTCATATTTGCTCGAAAAGGTTTTCACAAGAAAGTGAATTAGATTTACATAAGGTCTCTCATTCCTCTGATGGTCTTCTTCAGTGTAATATTTGTTTAAGAAAATTTGCCAGACAATGTAACTTAGTTCAACATAAAAGGGTGCATAATCGTACGTTTACTCCTAAAAGTTAAGTGCTACATTCTTACTAGTGGGATTTTGTCACTACTTAATACTGCAGTATAACCATAGCTGTTACTCCTCTTAATTCAACTGTTGAACAGTTTGTTTCTTTTACCCTAAGAATCCATTTGTGAAATTTAATCATGAATTAAAGAAATATTTTATGAAACTACATCATTCTGATGAAGCAGTATGCATTAGGGAGGCCCTTTGGCAATGTCGGAATTTTTTTGGTCTTACCCCCTAGAACTGATCCATTTGATTAAAAAACACTCTCTGCCAAGTTTCAGCCAAATCGGACAATATTAACCCGTGCCGACAGAACCATCTTGTTTACATTGAAAAACAGTTTTTTTCAGAAAAATCCATTTCCTCGAAAATGTAATTTCTAGAAAAAAATCTGAGGTCATCAGCTTTAGGAGGAAAAATTGAGTAGGGTAAGTTGTGTTGGACACCTTAAAAATTTTTTTTTACCCCTCGTTATTCCGGAAAATTCCGATTTAATGCAGCAACTTTGTCGTCATTTCGGACTCAGCATTAAAAAACACAAAAAAAACATCCGTCACATGTTGAGGTTCATTTCCTGAAAATTAAGTTTTCCCCCGAAAACCCTCTGTTTTACAAGAAAATCGATTTTCCGGAAAATCCTGATGGAATAGAGGAAAATGGATAGCATTTTCGGACTCAGCATAAGAAAGTACATGATGAACACCTACCATATGTTGAGCTTTGTTTTCGGATGCAGACCTTTGTAATGATTTAAGATTTATCACTGTCATTTTACCCTTTTTTAGCGTTTTCTAGATGCTTCAGTTGTTTCACCGCTGTAATGAGGGGTAAAAAAAATTTTTAAGGTGTCCAACACAACTTTTTCCACTCAATTTTTCCTGCTAAAGCCGGATATGACCTCAGATTTTTCTAGAAATTACACCTTTTCGAGGAACTGGATTTTTCTGGAAAAAAGTGTTTTTCAATGTAAAAAAGATGGCTCTTTCGGCACAGGTTAATATTATCCGATTTGGCTGAAACTTGGCAGAGAGTGTTTTTTGATCAAATGGATCAGGTCTAGGGGGTAAGACCTAAAAAATTAGCAAAGTAAATTTTGCCGTGTATAATTGGGCCACCCTAGTACGCAGGCATTTAATCTTCAATGAAAAGAAATTTAATTTCAGGAGAGTTGTGAAGTAAATGTATCTTTAAATACTGATGAAAGCAGAAGGAAGATAGGATGAAGTTTTTATTCTTCTTTTTGTTTTGTCTCAATGTGTGGCAAGCTCTCTTTTTAAATCATCTTAAGTAGATAGTTGAAGTCTAACATTTTAAAGAGGATTAATCATGTGCTTTGTCAGGGAAAAAGTCACAATTGCATTTAGAAAAACTGAATCAGTTCAAATACCAGTATTACTGTGAACTAGACATTTCCAGGGACTAATCCATGGTGTGTGAGTGAACTTTAGATGAATAAGAAATATTAAGCCGGGAAGGCAGACAAATACTCATAATAGTAAATTGGAACTAAATTTATTTTAACAAGATAATTTGCCTAAAGGTGGGAACTCATCCAAGTGCTGTAATTACCGCTAGCATAAAAACATATTCGCTTTTTACTTGACTTATGTGTCATTCTGTTTCATTCCAAACTTCAATGCAATGTTGACTCTTTCCCTCAGCTCTCCATTTTTTCCCCCACCCCATTATGAAAAGTATCTCAGCCTTAATAACAAGCTGTTCATATTTTATTAAATCTCATCTTTTATTTTCGAAGGTAGGAAAGAACTGAATTTTTTTAGGATTGAACTGATTTTTAAAACTGTAGCTTACAAGCATTAGAAAAAATCATCTGAAATTTAAATTTTTTTTATGAAATCAAATCGGATTTCCCTTCTATTTTTTATCTAGGCTTATGTTAAATCTCTCCAAGTCTTAATTTATCCAATGTAGAGCTGATGTGGTCAATCGACCGCATCCAAATGAAAAATACTCCAAGAATCATTGGAGTATTTTTACCGTAACTGAAACGCAGAATTGTTTACAGTTCAAGGAAGAAATTTTCTTTTTCTCTGATTAATCTTTTTTTTCTTTCACTCTCCCCCTCTCGTTTTTTCTCTTACTTTCCCACAATTTTTTAAAATGAATACTTCTTCTAAAACATGCTGCAGTAGGCATCTCAGAAAAGTTTTAATTTTTGTTAAGTTGCATCATATGTGGACTTTCCATAACCGCAGAACAAAGTGACTCATTGTTAACTTTCTGGCTGGAAAGAAACTAGTTGTTTTCGACTTCTTAAAAATTGCCTCAGATGTCTGTTGCCTTGTTTGAAACCAATCGCTCCACTCAGACGTAAAATGTAGTTAAGAATGTTGCCTATTTTGCTTTTCCTACTTACAAAATAGAGTGTAATTACTGCTGTCTCTGTGGTTTATTTTCTCAGCATCTCAATTTCATCAACCTTTGAATGGCTCATTCAATCTGTTGTTTATTATTCAGCCTCCCTCTAGTCATTTCAAATGAAAAAAAGTAACCGATAAACAGAATAGGTGTTTATGAAGGTGCTGTCTTTTACGGTTCAGAAAGAAACGTAATAATCTTGATTCTTACTCTAATTATTTTCTTTTTTCCTCTCTCTCTCTCTCGCGAGGAGATGTTTCCAAATGGTTAGTTTTGCACTGTTCTGAAAGTTGGCATGGAGTAAGTGGCAGTAACTGGAAACTAATTCTCGAAATATCCATCTTACAAACTGTTAACAACAACTCAATATCATGGAAATTTTCTCTCACTTTTTCCTCAATAATAGCAAATCTTAACTTCTAAAAGCAAACAGGTGTTTTATCAGTCTTAAGTTGAGAACCCACTCTCTTCGGAAGAGTCTTTGTAAAAAAATCTCATAAATTGAAATGAGTTCAATACATTTGATAAAACACTTAAAATTTCCGTAGTATTTCTGATCAATTCATAGGAATGTTACTGATTCACAGTTGTTGGCGATTTTTATATTTTATTTCAAAATCTCAAAATTATGAATGAAACTCGGGAGTTTCCAATGGTTGCCCCCTACTCTATTATTGAACTTTATTTTTTTCATGAATTCTTCCTTAAATGATTGTTTGGTTTTCTTGTTCCACTTTCAATGGCTATTCATAATTTGTGCTTCTTTTTTCTGTTAATTGAAGCCATTACGGAAAAAATCCACAGACCTTGTTTAGTTTCTCTTACTGTTTAGAATGCATAATTAAAGTCAACTTATCAATATTGTTTTTTTTTTATTTGTTGGTTTTTAATTTGTAAAGTGTGCTAAGTATAGGTATTTACCATTTTACTCACAAAGTGTATATCATTGTCAGGTTAAATTAAACACAGCTTAAATTAAAAGCCAGAACAAGTGAAAAGATAAAATCTGTAGCCAGCTACATGAAATGGACCACCAGACAAGATACAAATTTAAACATTCTAATACACTTTTCCCTGTAAAAATTTCATGTAGAACACAACTTTTGCCAAAAAATAGTACTGAAATCAACGCATCGGTCCCAAAAAATTTGAATTTTTCGCTTACATGATAAATCAGAGTCTGCTTGAATCAAATGAAGCGCACCTCAACGATTTTGGCAGGCTTCTCAATAAACAGTGTTCCTGCTGCACCTTGTGTTAATTAAAGTGTGAACAACATAGATTACCTGAGTGTAAGTGCTGGTATTGAGATTGTCATATTCTTATATTATAAAGGCTGAAACAATGACCTTCAATTTGCGATAAAACTCAAGTAGACTTAGGTTCTTTTATGAGTGAGAAATTTGCATTCATGCATCAAAAATGTCAGTGTCTTTGTGAGGAATTGCTATTAGTAATTTTCATTGTACAAAATTTTCGTGAGAAAACAAATATCATTATCATTAAATTCACACCTTGTCCAGTGGTCCATTTGACAAAATACTGAGTTCTTACTTGGCTGTCAGCGTAGGCAGGGGCGAAAAAGTAGTTTTCTTCCAAGTTCTACATCAACATAAGTTTGTGTAGGTGTTGCATTAATGGGATAATGTAAAATTGGTAATGATGAGCGTCCAAAAAATATCATAATTTGTATTTACATGGGTATGTTTCTTCAACTCATGAGTAATGATATTACATGGACTGGATTCTTCACTTTTTCGGTGCATATTCCACAGCCGTCAGAAGGTTTTGATTTAAGGCTTGACTTTTTAAGTGTATCTGTCTCCTAACTGCATCATCTCATATGATTCGAATTGTGATGCAGGCTCTAATGAGACTCTTATTGTGAGCCAATAAGTTGAATTTTTATTCTATTAATTGAGACAGCATGTAGTTTATTTTACTGCATCCAAAAATCGTACCCTCTCAATTTCGTTTTTTTAAAAAAAAAGTCATAGTCCAAGAATGGTGACATATTTCATGAAGGAGTTATATAGTACTGGTAGTTCACCTGATGTGTAACGTTTGTTTTATACCTGAGTCTGTCGGCACCTAGTTGACAGCCTGTTTGTCCTCATTTTGTGCCCCCACCTGAGTCCATCAGTTTTTTTTAGTCTCTCATGTTCATCAGTATTTATGTGAGCCAAACTTGATAGACTTCTGTCAATCACTAATTTATTTAGATAATTAGTGATTTTAAGAGAAACATTAAATTTTCATTTTCCTAGATATTTTCCTCAGCACTCAATGGATTTGCGACTTTAAAGGATGCGTCCATCATAAATAGGAGGTAGCAAAACAGGCAACAATTACAATGTCAATTTTATTCTTATACTGAGAATTTCCTGTTTATGCATTTATCAAACCAAAAACATCTGTAAAAATTGTTCAGTAATGGTTCTAATTGATGAATTAACGGGAGGCATTCTGGTAATCATATTATTGGCTGAATAAGATGTTAGAAATCGGGTGTTCTGGCCTTGAACTCTTCTCTTTGTTGCACTTTTCCTGGTACATTATTATGTACGTTCTTGCATGACATGTTTTTCATTGCATTGATATTATTTTCAATCATTTTTCAATTTTTTTCCATGTAGATGATAACATTTTGTACTGAATTTCTTAGATTTATGGCTGAAAAATACAAGAATAAATGATTTAAAATCAAAATTTCTGTGAGTTATTTTTATACACCTTTCCCCTTTAACATTTTGACAATTTTTCCCACTCTTTGCCACTCTGTTTTCCTTTCACTATCTCCAATAGAGGAAACAAGAACACAGCAATTAAAATTTGATTTCTTTTTTTAATAATGGACTCTTATGTTCCTACTTTACAGACAGTTTTTATCAGGCAATGGAACTGGATTCTGATCTTAATCATTTCCTTTTTTTTATTTCTATGAATTAATTTGTATTATTTATTGTTATTTTTTCTTTATTTTTCTTTATGTATATTTATGCTGGAAAATTACAACTCAAAATTTAGTCATGAATGATACTTAGCACAGAATTTGATATGATAAAGCAATGAGAGTTATTGTTAAGGAATATTTTGTGACTTGCAGCTTTCTGTGATTTTAAGATACATGAGTGCTCTTGTCTGAGAAAAAATAATTCGTTCAACTTGCATGAGCACAACAATAAACCAAAAATAGACAAAAATTAACCATGATAATATACAAATCTAGCCTCTTATCATAAACTATGCCAAAAAACACTGAAAAGCCAGGGATATCTCAGGTATTTTATGTTGAAAATATCTGAAAAGTGAGGAAATTTTTTAACTTAAGGAAACTTGTCACTCTGCGAACAGTGATTATCACGATAGGTCGTGATTCCGCTCTTTTTTGCCTATGATGGTCCTACAAATTACACTATTCGGCAATGCTAGCACATACGGAAGATAGTAAATAATGGAGAGGATACAATTTTTACATATTTCCAAGGAAATTAAATGAGACGATTCAAAGGAAGACCAAATAGTGTGTAATTGCCGATAAAGTCAGGCAAGTATTGCCGCTTGAACATTGAACGGGCTCCATTTTATTTATGAAATTATTAATTTAATTATCTCTTTTTTTCAAACCGATTAAATGCTCAGTCCGCCCTATCTTCGTGCAACCATGCAGTATAAAGCAATGAGCGGCAGGATTTGTCACAAGTGGGAACAATCGGATGCACTCCGGCTTTTTCAATGGCCAGGTCTGGATACAACTATTCGTGTTCTCAGGACGTCCGTGTTGCCTACACAACATATTGCAGGCGTTCTGGCTTTCCTAAGCACAGCGCAACGTGTGACTGCGGTTATTAGTTCTCTAGGGTTTTCTATGTTGCACTCAATTGTCGTGTTTACCATGTGAAATCCTTGAAGTTCGAATTAGCCATCTTGCATCACGGCAGCGATGCCGAATGGTGCAAATTTTCTAATAAAAATATTTTCACGACGGCATCGCGGATGTCATTCCTGCAAATTACGAAGTGCCGATAACATTCGAATCAGTAATTTTTAAAAACTTAAATTCCAGAAATAAGAATTCAAGAAAAACAGGAAAAAGTTGTTCTAATCCTAACTTATTCTAAATCTCGCGGAGTTCAGAGCATTAAACGTGTAAGAAGATTGCAATTTCAAAACGGATCATGGTTGTTTCAGAAATGTTCCTACAATTTGAAGGGAGAAAAAACTGAAAAAAGAAACCGACGTATTGTATCGCCTAAGTATTTTTGAGAATAAACGGACTTATTTCAACATAACCCCCCCCCCCCCCCCCCNTCAAAGTCATATGAATAGAATTTCAATTCATATGAATAGAATTTCAACTGGACTACATTTTGCAATTTGGAACTATAAATTCTAGCCCGGTTTAAAAATAACGTATGTGCCAGTAGTTTCCCTAAGCACATACGTGTTTTTCCAGAAGAGGCAGAATTTATAGTTCCAAATTGCAAAATGCAGTCCAACTCATATGAATAGAATTTCAACTTATATGAATAGAATTTAACTCATGTGAGCAGAATTTCTCTATTCACTTTTCGCCGACTCATATATGACTAGAGATTCCAACTCATGTGACTAGAGTTTTCAACTCACATGAGTTCAGCGTTGAAACTACCGTGTTCGATATCTCAGAAACTAGTCACCGCATCAAAAAAATTATAAGGACATAATGTTCTTATTTTTCAAATTTACCTATTATGTCGGCGTCTCCTAGTTAAAAACATTACTTCTGAAAAATGAAAAAAATTGAATTCATATGAGTTGAACTTTTCTACTCTTGTGAGAAAAATATTCTAGTGATATGAGAAGGATTTCTACTCATATAAGTAGGGAATTCTACTCATGCGAGTCGGCGAATTCTGAATAGCCTACTCATCAATTTTAGCAGCCCCCCCCCAATTTAATGTAAAATTGTTAGTACGTGAAGCCGTAATTTGCAAGGAAACTTTCATTTAAACCTTCTTTTCATAAAATACAATGATAACTTACTTACTAAGGATTACATTAGGTACTAAGAAAATTTACTCAAATCTCAACAACAGAGACATGTTTGGCTGAAAGAAAAACTTTTACTCCCTCGTCCTCGAAAATTCAATCCAATAAAACTATGTGAAAGTCTCGAAACGGATTAAATAAAATTAAGAGACCACTACAAATACATATATATATAAAGCACTTTAGCACTTGAATCTTTTTGAGAATGACCGATTCATTTCTGCAAATTGCACTATTTTGCTACGCAGTCCTAGCGCTACACGACTCATCCTTTCAAATATTTCACTCGGTAAACTTGATTGTAAATGCAACATAGACATAGGAAACCCGCGAGAACCAACAACCGCAGTCATACCTAAGTTGCGCTGTGCTCGAAAAAGCCAGAACGCCTTCAATATTTTGTGTGTGCAACACGGTCATCCTGAGAACACGAATAGTTGTATCCCGACCAGGGCCGGATTAAGGGATTGGCCACGTGGGCCGCGGCCCATGGCGGCAAAATGTAGGGGGCGGCAAATTTTGCAATCTTTTTGATTATAGGTATAAAATAAAAAGAGGAAAAAATCGGATTCAGAAAATAAATTACAACGAGAAAAGGCGACAAAATCTCTTATTTTTTGAGAGTAATAGAATGGTAATTTCTGATTTTGTCGTCTTTCGGTGATACATGAGACAGTACCTCTAATTAGTCGAGTTAAGAGAGAAACTAAACTCGCAATTTGACCTGGGGTGGAGCGGCGCAGAGATCAATGATGACCAGGACTGGGATGAAAATGAGAAGCCATCGGCGCGGCGGTCGGCATGAAACGCATAGCGCCTACAAGACTGCATGAATACTTCACGCATTGCGTCCAACACACGGCGGTCAGCAGCAAGTCGGCATGAAACGCATAGCGCCTACAAGACTGCATGAATACTTCACGCATTGCGCCCAACGCAGTGCGGTCGGCGCGGCGGCGGAAGTTAAAATTATTAACCACATTTATATTTGCTCTTTCATAATTTTTTCGTTCGTTTGATATAAATAGAAGGCCTTGTCCAAACAGGGATGGGCTTATACGGAACTGAACTTTCGCGCAAAGTTCCGTGAACTTTTGTTAGTGTTGACAGGGCTTCCACAAAAAATGTGCCCAACACGAGTAAACGCGTCTCATACACTCCTCCCCCACCGGCACGTTCACTCGGTGGTTTTTATAGATCGTATAAATTCGATAGATCACATAGGTGAGATTATATTGATATCGATTGGTTCAATATGTAACAAGGTGGAGAAATGGTGCTGGGTCCATACCATTTCGCGGGAAAAACAAAGCTAAGAAGTTCCAAGTTAATATTCCAATGCAAACTGCCTAAGCTAGACACTCTTCCCCCTCAGTTTTGTACTGGTACTCATTAAAGTTTAAAAAAATTATTTTATAATTAGTTAAACAAATTTCAGTATGGAGACAAGAGTGCTTCTTCTTCTATACAGTGAACTCTCTATAATTCGAAATTGAAGGGAATCGGCCTTTTTCTTCGAATTAGCGAGGTTTCGAAGTAAAGAGAGTTCGAATCAAAGGAATTCCATTCGGAATGTACCGTCTTAATTCTTATTTCGCATTATAGAGGGAGGACCATACTTACTTTCCACACTTCGAATTACAGAGAGAATTTCCATCGCAATTTCGAATTATAGAGGGCCACGCCAGCTTAAAAATTTCGAAATAATGAGGGGAGAAAAATACATTGATTTTCTTCGAATTATGGAGAGATTTTCAAGGGAACCAGACTTTCCTTTGAGGAAAGAAAAACAAGGAAGTTTTCGAATTATCGAGAGTCCACTGTACAGGCACCTGTGAAAATCAAAAGCAAAAGCCCTAATGATTAATCCGCGAGTGAACGGTTCTCGTTTTTCGAGGGTGGAACTTTCGGCGGAAATGTTATTCCACCACTCGGATATGACTGTTGAAATTTTCATCGTTTGTATGAGTTATGATGACGGAATCCGTTAATCGTGTATCTAATTGAGATCAGTCACTTGATTTTCATGGGGAGGTTCCCACCCGAAAGTGAAGCGAAACCAGGGTAAGCGGTAATGTGAAGCAATCTAGCGAAGGGGTTCAATGAAGTAATTACGCCACCACTACCGGCGCACTAGATAATGTGAATGACCGTGGGTCGCGAGGAACGACATTCGTGTCCAGGGAGAGCTTTGGATCGGTCATTAAAGTAGATTTACTTTTTTAGTTCCCCGAAAGAAATTCATAAATTTAAGACTGAAACCCCGCTCGAGATGTGGGTCAGGAGATTGGTCGAAAAGATTTATCGCACGAAATCTAACCAATCCGTCCGCCTTCATTAGCATTCAAGCCATTGAGCACCTTCTTTACTCGTGAATTTATATCACTTTGATCCGTGTTGCGGGTTTTAGGGGAGTTTTCGAATTCTTGCAACCGAACCAGTAGAATAATCTGGGGTTTACGTGTGAAAATTGGCAATTCTCGCGGTCTGTAAGAGGCTATACGTGATAAAGTCATCCGGAATCAGCGGGTTAAGCGTAATTCCTCGGCCTGAAAAAAAATGGTCTCGTGTACGCACGAAGCCCCCCCCCCTCCCCCCTCTCCTTCAGCGCTCTTTGGATTTAGTCAAACCAGGTAGACTTTCCCTCTTCACCATGACCCAATTTCTATTCTCCTAACTGTCTCGTTTGCTGACTTTGAAATATATTTTTTGTTCGTACTGAAAATAACGTTGAACATTTTATTTTTGCAAAATTTTGATTCACATTTTTCCCAAACCCAAGTTCTCCTTTAAAAACAATAAATTGATCAACACCCAGCAGCTCTTCCAAAGAAACAGGAGAGAAGAAGTAAAGGGGAAATTGAGAAATAATGAGAGAAAGAAGAAAATGGTCCCAAAAATTAGGAAGTTGCAGTAAATGGAGTTAGGTACGTTACATTCCACCAACTGCCGTATTTCTTGCAGTGCGTGTAGTTGGTTTAAACACAGCGTCTTCGTCCCTAATATGCAGACCATCGTCAAATGTCTATAGGAGACCCTAAAATATAGACCTTCCAGGAGTATATGTGGGTTTTGCCTAGCTCCAAAAAGGAGCTCGAAGGCATAGGCGGATCCAAGGCGGGGGGGGGGGCGTATGCACCTCCCAGTCCCCCGAAAAAAATGAAGAAGGAAAAGGAAAGGAAGAAAAATGAAAGGAACGGAGAAAAGAAGAAGGAAGTACGCTTAAAATGAGCAATTATTCATAACGAAATTAACTTAAACTGCGAATTAGATTATTGAAAAATTGTCTGTGGGAGGGCCCTGGACCCAGGATGGCATGAAACGTAAGAAAGAAATGAAAGATTGGAAATTTCAGTGAAATAGGTATTTCATGAAATTCCACGAGGTTGTGAAATCAGGGCCGGATTCACCTACTTGCCGCCCATGGGCCGCCTATATTTTGCCGCCCCCTTCTCATTCGTTTTGAAACTCGATAAAAACCATCAAATGAACGTGCCAGCGGGGGAGGGGTACATACGACGCATTTACTCGTGTTGAACACATTTTTTGGGAAAGCCCTGTCAACACTACTAGCAAAAGTTCAGGAAATTTTACGCGAAAAAGAAGTTCCGTAAACCTATCGCTGGGTGGACAAGGCCTTCTATTCATAAGAAATGAACGAAAAGATTATGAAAGAATAAACATTAATGTGGTTCAATGATTTTAACTTCCGCCGCCACGCCGCGCAGACCGCACCGTGTAGGACGCAATGCGTGAAGTATTCACGCAGTCTCGTAGGCGCTATCCGTTTCACGCTGACCGCAATGACCGCACTGTGTTTGATGCAATGCGTGAAGTATTCGTGCAGTCTTGTAGACGTTAATATGTGTTACATGCCGATCGCCGCGCCGAGGGCTTCTCCTTTTCATCTCAAGTCCTCCTTATCATTTCTCTCTAAGTCGCGCCGTTCCAGGCCAAATTGCGTGTTTGGTCTCTCTCTCTTAACTCGACTTATTGAAGGCTGTCTCTTGTATCACTAAGAGACGACAAAATTAGAAATTACTATACTCTCAGGAAAGGAGAGATTTTGTCCCCTTTCCTCGTTCGTAATTTTGTTTTTATAAATCCGTTTTTTTTATACCTACACTTTAAAAAATTGCAAATTTTTGCCGCCCCTTAGATTTGCCGCCATGGGCCGCGGCCCATGTGGCCACCCTCTAATCCGGCCCTGTGTGAAATATTTCGTATTTTTCAAGGGTTGAAGTATGCAACCTGCACTCAAACACACAATAAGTAGAAGAAAGTCACAATTTGTAAATTTTGCGAAACATGGAAAGGAACTGGTATTTCTTAATACCTTTCATAAATTTCCGAAATTTTTCCCGTGAAATTTCAAGGTTTTATTTTCCATGAAATTTTACCACCCTGCCTGGACCCCCTTCACGGCCCTTAAGCCCCCCCCTCCCCCGTTTGAGGTATCTACATCTGCCTATGCTCGAAGGAAAATCCGGGGGCCTCTCCTAGAAAATGTTATAGAATTAAGTTGTTTCAGAAGCAGTGCCAACCTGTTTTTCCCCAACACATGAATCGAATTAAAATTATACAGGTGAAAAAGTTCCACGCTTATTTATCAAAACTCTTTACATTTCTTCGGAGGGACTAAGTTGATTTCTGATGAAGGGGGGCTGTCGTCCCCCCGGCCCCATACCAGTTGCGCCTTTATCACAAGAGTAACATTGTGGCAACATTGTAAGACATTGCATAGAGACATTGCGGCTGCACCGTCCTTGCGGACTAAGTCACTTCTTGTTCTTAAGTGAAATTATTTTCTCCACCACCTCCGAAATTACATGTTACGTTTTTTGCACCTCAAACGCTCACCCTTCATATCTCGGACTTCGTTGCAGAAAATATCGACCAGTGCCTTCGACGTTGACCGTTTTCTCTTGCAGGATCACCATAACTTCCATTACAATGACATGAAATACAGGGTGGTTCAGGGTTAAGTGCAAAGATTTCAGGAGCGAGTTCGTGATTAAAATAATAATATTTGTGTCGTTTTACTTCAAACTCGCTCATCTCGTAGCGTACGGCATCTTAAGATTGAGGCTTTCTTTGTCTCAAACACACTCAGAAAACAAGTATGAGAGGAGTGACTTGCCGGCCGAGTTATGGATCATGGAGCCATAAAATATAGTTCGTGGAGCCATCCTTATAGGTTCACCACCAATGAAGTATGGCTCAGAAAGCCAAACTGTAGACGATAAGTCACTTTGGTTAGGAATTATGGATCTCCGAGCCATTTTTTATGGGTCTCACAGTCATACCTACCTTTTTTCGAGTGCAGCGTTGGAACGTCGTTGTATCGAATTTAATCAAGCATGTTACTCATGTCAGCTGGGGGTAATTTTAAGCGATTTCCAATTTTTTTTCAACGGAGGGAAAAAATAATTTTGTGCTGAAGGAAGATATCAAACCTTTAAGTGGTAGAAATCTAATTTGGAAGGGGAGGCTGCCTTTTAAAATTCCCTGCCAAATGAATTTTTCATTAGTTTAAGATCAAAACTGAGTAGAGCGCATATGCTCATCTTTCAAGGGCTAAATTTCACCCAATGTTGCCACAATGTCCAAAGATTATTGACTTAAATATGACCCCCCCCCCTCCTTCTAGCCTACGCAAGCGTGGTCCATCCACCGGCAAGCGTTCTGCACCCTCAGAAATCCGTTTCGCCGTAACGAAAATCGAAATCTCAAAATCCGATTTTCTGACCCAATATACAACAGCGACGAGAATCGCTCTACTGAAGAATTTGCCTCTGTAAATTAGGTCTCTTTTCCTGTCGACGGCCACATACATCGAGAAGTTTCAAAGTTTACGTGGCTTCACTTAGTGTCAGATCTCCCTCCCTCGTAATGCGAGATACGTCAATCCTCTCCTCCCCCTCCCCTCTGGTCCGCGGAGCGTGACTCGATTTATGGACGGCACCCAACTTTGAGATACTTAGTTATGGCAAAAATGTTACATGAGTTGAAATCTCAAATCTTTCAAATCACACCATCCTTCTAATGCAAACCCTCGAAATCCCCTGAATAATCTCAACCCCTTCAAAATCTCATCACTGAAAATAATTCGACAATGGTCTCCTGCGCCCTCCGGGCAGAACCTTCTATAAATTAAAAATTTAACCCCACCCCTCAAAAAAAGGGAAAAGGTTGCCTAAGAGATAGTGTCATTTTTAGGGGCTGTCCATAAATTACGTACCGCTCTAAGGCTGCACGGGTCTTCATGATTTTTTGACCGAGCGTGGCAAGGGTGTGAGAGGGTAAAAGCTTAGCGTTACGTAACAGTTTGTGCTTACTGGATTTCAACTTTTTTCTTTTTCAATTTTACATGCAAAATTTTTTTGTCCTCATTCTTTCTTTTTTCTTGTAATACAGAGCCTTTAACTTAACGAAAGGGATGCCCTCCCCCAGTTTTCAGTGATAACATTCATCTTTACTTTGGGGGGGAGGGGGTTGTCGAGGCAAATGTCACGTAATGATTTTGGGGCCGTTTGACTCAGCGTCGCATTCGCGTCGCAAGGGGTATGGTAATGTCGAAAAATCAGGAAAATCGCGTTGCGTAATTTACGGACAGCCTTTTTAGGCAATGGTTCGAAAATTTGTCGATTGACCCTGAATCACCCTGTACAGAGAAAATCTACGACGGCAACGCCGAGAGGCGACTCCCGTTCGGCTGCCATGCCGCGGGGCAGTGGTCATTTAAGTGTCAAGCAGCACGCAACACACAGTGGAAAATCAACGTTTTGTACAGGGGAAGGGGCAAGTGCGGTATGTGTGAGTAAAGCACCAAACCACCCTTCCGTACTTTCCACCCTTGGAGTCGGAGTCCTCCCCGGTGCAACTCTTTTTTATTATTCGTCTGCCCGGCGCCTCCAGCGAATGTCGCCGCGTTCCGTTTCTTCGTGTTCGTCGAGACTGCTTCGCCAGGACTCCCCACCACGCACGTTTCTAGCGATTCGTGTCGGCTTCTAGAATTCTTTCATGCGAAAGTTGCAGAAGTGAACATCGTCGTGTTTCTCGTGCCGTGACAAATCATCCTCTCAAGCAGTAGTGTGTACCAAATTTTTTAACCACGAGGTATAAAATCATAAAAATAAAAATAAATCGAACTGTCTCTGAAGTGAATTCATCATTTTCGAAGAAGGGAGCTCCACGGTTTCTAGCGAATCTACCCTTTTTTCCACCAAAAAAAAAAAACGGAAGTGGCTTTGGTGTAAATTTAGGTTAAACTTTTGGTGTAACGTAATTTTGATGTTTATATAAAAATCCGAAGCCGCCGTAGTCCAAACTTTAAGTAGGTTCCGTAACGTAATTGAATCAGGTCCACTTTCCTGCTTATTTTGTTTTATCTCGAGTACTCCTGGCTTGATTGCGTGGGTTCAATTTATCTGTGAAATCGACCCATGTTGCGGTGAAAAATACGTTTTGTTCAGGGTCGGACCAATTGTTCAGTGCTTTTTGGGGTTTTTTAAATACATGGAGAACATAACGAACGAAAAACATTGTCACCATGGTATTTCAAATCGAAGGCCGCCCTTTAAAGCAGCCGAAAACTCCTGATAAATCGGTTCGATGACTTGATGGATCTCTATTCGCCACGGTTTTCATCTATAATTGAAACAAAGGACAAGATTTGAAGCATGCATCATTCTTAGTCAAACGAACGCCCGCCAAAAGCGAAAGGTAAGAGGGGTAAAAATTATTTATTTACTTTTTCGGGGGAAGTTATACAACTAACTCAAAGGATCAGTTTCAGGTTCACGTTTATAGACTACAGATTTTAGAGATCCTTACAAGTTCCTGAAACGTCAAGGATGAACACTACAAGTATATTCACTTTTCTTACTTGAAGTATATAAATACTTGTGATGTAGTTATTTGCTACTTATTTGTATCTTGAATTATTCATTCTTTCTGTATGCGTTCTCAATTAATGTTTAAATATATGGCTCTGCCTTGCGCCGTGTCAAAGTACCATAGATTTTTGAATACCACTACTCGTGCTCCACGATTGTCCTTGTTGCATAGCAAATTATTGAAGGCGTGCTGGTTTCAATCGCGATTTTCCAGGTATGCGACATTTCACGTCGGCGCCGCCCTGCGCCGCGTTAAATTACCGTAAATTTCCAGATACCACGGTAAAAATAGAGCAAGCTCTACTCTCGTTGAAAATATCGAGATTTTGAAATGTTGTGATGCTGGTGAAATATTTTTAGCTCGTAAGTATCGAGATTTTTCCGGAAAAGATAAACACTATAGGTGCACCAAAATAATTCTTTCGTAACCCTCGCATTTTCAAAATTTTAATTCTTAACTGAAAGCCATTCACACATCCTATTTTCTCAAGTTCAAAAAAAAAAAGAAAAAAAAGAAAATATAGTGAAAACCGCTGCTCCGAGCTTTTGCGTCAAGTGTCAGTCGGGAAAAAATGGATCTGGAGAAAATTACTGCCCAATAAGTTTTAGGAATAAGCGTGGGACAACAGACAACTCCTTCATATTCCCTTTCCTAGGAAAATATGATGAAATTTTATTGAAAGGAAGGAAAATTCGACAGGTACTTCAAAAGATAAAAATAAGAAAATGAAGATCTATTCATATATTCATAGAAAAAAAGAGGAGGAAAAAAGCATTTAATCTAGGCTCTCGCCTCGTCTACCGTCGATTTTTTTTTTCTTAGTGGTAGTTTTAGGAAACTGTAAGCTATGAGAACGTAAAACCTTGTACAACAGCACTTTGCACATCCCCGAAAATTGTTTGTTTGCTTGCGATCCTTTCATCATAGGAAACGGTCTCGTCTGGGAACAGTGCGACACGCGACGTGATTCAGCGCATCACATCAACCGCGGCTTGGCGCGAGCGCCAAGACAACCTGTGCGCCTTCAATTTTTGACTAGGCAATACGGATATCCATCGTGTTCGAATAGTCGCATTCAGGCGCCTGCCGCAATCTCGCAACGTTCGTCAGCCGAACCACCTCTTTGAGAATGAATTCCAAACCCGTTTGAGCGAAAAGTTCACATATTTCTGCATCTGAATAACTGTTTCATTAAAATCTAATGCTTTTAATGAAATAATAATGTAAGCTTTATAAATTAAATGTCCAGACTAGGAATTAGTCGCAATTAATTTCTGAGTAAAGCGTTTTCTCTTGGACTGCAGAAATGTTATTGCATTTCAGTTTTTCAATTCCCGTGTATTTTATTTGAGGGTTCAATTGAGGAAAAAGCGAGAAAATTGGTCATTGAGATAAGAAATTTTGCTAAGAGAGGTACAGTTTCTTCAAAATTTGATTGAAGAAAGGAAAGAACGGTATACAATAAGCTACCTCCTTTTTTTACTTTCTCCTAATTCAAGAATTTATTTTTATCAATTTTGCTTAACAGCTGTGACGATGAAGAAGTAGGGTGATATCATACAATGTACTTCTTTTGCGAATCTTGAACTAGTGTCGAGTTAGACTTAGAGAGAATTATTTAGATAATAAACTTAAGGTGTTATAATCCCAAACAATCTATTTCAAAATACTGTGGGCCTCTAAATCATTCTCCAAGATTTGTGGATTTGTACCCACCTTTTAAATTTGTTATTTTTGAATCATGAAAATGACATAAATGGCATTCTCCCACCCTCGCCTCCTCAATAGTAAGTAAATGACTTTCCAAATAATTTTTACGTTTCGTCATTTTTGAATATGCGCGGTATAACTTTGCATAGTGTCAACAATCATGGTGTCAACAAACCGAAAATCTGATCGTGGAGTCAACGATTGTTGACGTGGAGTCTCTCAATAACTCCTGTTGAATCTGTAGAATGTATTTTTTATTCTAGCGTTGCAACTGCCTTCATATTGACACTTCTGGTAGCCAAGCAGAGCGTGAATTTTCCCACGTGGCTTAACGAAAGTTATTTGATTTTCTCATCCCTATCTATCGAGGAAATGAAGCGCCCGCGGGTCGATTGTCGAATCATTATCGACATATCATGATCGATAAATCTCCATTTTAACAATGTTATTTATCGATAAAAGCCATTCGACAAGGATTCGACCAGCCTTGCGCCGGCTTGAACGACGGATCGGAGAAGCGTGACTGGGGGCCATTTGCGCCACGCCGGAAGATTCTTTGTTAACAGTTTCACATTGCACGTGGAATTGGTTGTTTACGAAACAGGATACGGTAGCGAAGATCTCGACAAAAATTACATCCGAACTGGGTTATAGTGTCATGATGAACACCAAGAAGGAACCCCAGGGCCATTACGCAAGGGGTCCGGGTCCCACCCCGGGGTGCAGGTGATGAACGAGTCACGACCCCCACGCCGAGGGTGGAGCGATGCACACACGAAGCCGAGTACAGGTGGAGCGACTTTAGAGGGGTGTGGAATTAGATTGTTGATGGTGCGTGGGGTGAGGTGGGGTGAGAGCAAGCCCTTAAACACCACCACCCCGATGGTTCTAGTCGATGGCCGAGAAGATGATAATACTGCCGTGCTAAGGAAGAACGCCGTATGAACCTTCGAGGGTTGCCAAATTTCCCCGAATAATACACTTAGTTTTGAAGAGATTTTTGCATATTTTTCCTTGAAATGCTCACATGTTTTAGACTCAATCGTGAACAAAATTCTCTGAAAAATTGAAGGAAAAATATTCATAATTTTCCCAGTAAATTCGTTCTTTACTCAAGGAGATATGGCAACGTCCGAATGCTCATACGACGTTTTTCCTCACACGTCAGAATTGTACTTGTTTCTTAAGGGGAAACGCTGTATGAGAATTCGAGTAATGCCAATTTTCCCCGATGTAAAATGAATCCGCGATTTATTGAAACTTATGGCAATAAAATTGAAATAGGTTGCAATTTTTCATTGCATTGCATATTGCCTATCTTTGTGATGCATGGAGCTCACTTTGTTGACTGTTTAAAATCGGCATAAATTGACGAAATCATGTAAAAAGATTGCAATTTAATGGTGAAAACATTACCATTTTATTGAAATCAAATTTCAATTTAATTTCAATATTTCGTTGCACTGTGCTACTTGGATAGGGCTGAAGGAGGGGACAGTAAAAGTTAACTGCAATATCAGCCATAAAGCCATAAACTCAACGACGGAAAGTTAAAACAGCGATAAAAGAAACGAGGATTAGGGACCCTAGGAAGTGCACACAGGACACGATGTCACTTTCTAAAGTTTCAATCGATATTATTTCACGGTAGCTTGAGCCGTCATCCACAACTTAACACTTTGACTGGAGTTTTCACACGCCATTTGTGGGTGATTGTAATTCAACGGATAAAATGGGCGATGAAATATTAATTCGCCCTCACTGCTTCCCTTTAAATCCGATCGTCATTAGGCCCGTTGGCTGCTTATGCCCGTCTCCAAGTCCTTATTTTTACCATGAATTATTTATTGTTTCCTCGGCATCATTAAGCACGTTTCGACGGTCTTACAGACAGCGGCGTCTCACGATATGATTCTTTTAATGTTTGTCTAATGATTTGGTCAAGCTTTTCTTGCAAACATGATGTCCGAAATCATACATTTTCGGGGGTGTAGCTAATAATCGTCAATACGCACTGCTAGCACTCTAAATCAGCGGCTCTCAACCTTTATCCGTCGCGGACCACCTTTTCCCTGAGAGGGGAGGCCGTGAATTTAACCATCCACAAAACTGAACCACTGGGGTTATTCCTTCTTCTTTCTTCCTTTTTTTGTCATATGCATTCGCGTATTCGGACCAGAAACTTTCGGCGAGCCTTTGTGGACCACTGTTGGGGAACTGCTGCTCAAAATCATCATGCGTATAGAAATCATTGGTCATAATCTGGATTGCACAGTTTGGAATAATCGGACTGATTATTGAAACTAATGGACACAGCCATAGACAAAGAAGACACAGGAACTACGGAGCAAGCCTATTGGTTGAAGGGGTGTTGCTATAGACTAAGGGTGAAAATCATGGACTAACAATAGCGTTTCTCGAGGGTTGCCGTTAGTCAGTCTATTGCCTATCTCCTTCGTCCATTGCAACCACCCACTTCCACTAATAGGATCTATCCATATTCATTTGTCTCCTTTGTCTACAGCTTTGTTCATAAATTTCAATAGTTGGCTCGCAGGTTTTTTTTTTTTTTTTTTTTTTTTTTGAAAAAAAAATCTCGATCTTGAAATTGGTAAAGAAGAGGACAAGTAAAATGCGATTAGAAAAGAACTGAAAAAAATATAGATCAAAAATGACTCATGGCTTCCCTTAAAACCCCGCCATCGAGGCAGTTGTTTTTATTTGTAGCTTCGCGGATGTGGTTCTGCACAAAAGTACTCCAGGATGTCACTATCGGGGATGTGCATTGTCAGCATTCGTCGAACACTTCGAACAGCAATTTTATTCCTAAATTGACTTTAGCTCGTCAAATGCTTCACTGAACACGCATGGCCGGATTTACCTACTTCCCGCCCATGGGCCGCCTGTATTTTGCCGCCCATGGGCCGCCTGTATTTTGCCGCCCTCTTCTCATTCATTTTGAAACATCAATAAAAACCATCAAGTGAACGTGCCGGAGGGAGAAGGGTTCATAAGACGCGTTCACTCGTGTTGGACACATTTTTTGCGTAAGCCCTGTCAACACTACTTGCAAAAGTTCACGGAACTTCGCGCGAAAGTTCAGTTCCGTAAACCTA